TATTTCAATTCGAAGTTACGGATATAGAATAGAAACTCTCGCACCATCAGGAGGGTTTGTTGCTATTTCACGCGAAAATAGAAATTATGCAGGACGTAATTTCTAAAATATCCGGATAATTCCAAATTAGCGACCGTAAAAACGAAGCTTGACTTTAACCTATGCTTTAGCAATAGGTTAGAATATACCGCTGGAAATGCTCTAACGATAAGAACCTGTTCCAAGTACTGATTTCCCTCGCTCTTTGAAACGCCTGATTATGAACAAGTTTTGGAGAGTACCAAAATATAAAGTGAAAAAAATATTAGTTTATGGAGCATCCTGGCTATTCAATTGCATAGCTGACACGTGCTCGCTAAACGACGACAGGTCAGTGTCGAGAATGCCAGTACGGTTCCAGCAGTTCACAACAGTTGACCGTGACACAGAGCGCCATGCATCCTTGGCCCACGCCATGGCGTCCACCAGAGGTACCTCATACAATCTGTCCTGACGGCCATCCATCAGAGCATCAATTTGCTCAAGTGCGTTCTGTAGCTGGCGTTGTTTCACCTTGGCCTTGAACGAAGCGATGATTCCAGCATCTTGGGGCTGCAGGTGGGACGTCGTATTCTTTGGAAGCATCTTGACCTTGACGTTCGTGTACAGAGACTCGTCGGGTTGTGTGGCGGCGCGTTGTCGACCAGCAGCAACACCTTCCGGTCCTCGGCCACCATGCGCTCATTCAGCGCCAGTAGGTACGTGTTGAAAAGGTTGCCCGTCATCCAACCCTTTTTGCTGGCCATGTAGTCAAAGCCCAAGGCCTCGCCCAACAACCCGTTGAAGCACCGTGGCCGCGCCGCCGTCCCGATGAACAGAGGGTCAACGACATCCGACCCATCCGCGTTCGTGGTGAGTGCAATGGTTATCCTCTTCTTCGACTTCTTTGTTCCAGGCTGGCGATGCCGCGTGATGGAGCGGTGTGGGACCATGCAGTAAAAGAACGAGGTTTCATCCATGTTGTAGGTGTTGGCGACCTCGAAACCACGCATGACTTGCTGCATTGCTTGGCGGCCGTCTTCGACTTGCGCTGGCGTCACAGATCCAGCCTCACCGTGCTGGACCTTGCTGGTAAGGCCGTACTTCTTTTGGAACTTGTGTAACCATCCCTTTGAAAAGGAAATTCGACGGGCCGGCGCGAAACCCATTTGAAACCCATTTGTCGCAAAGCACTCCAGCTTGCTTGCGTATGAGCTCCCCGGTGATGCATACGCCAAGGTCTTCGCACCGCAAGACCCACTCGAGAAGGCGTTGCTCGACGGCCGGCAGAGCAACGACGCGGTCGTTTTTACGGTCCTTGGCATCGGAACGGTAGCTTAGTGTAGAGTGTTGTTTAATAGCACGTCCAATTGTTGCCTTTGATGGTGTGGGTACAAGGGCAAACTTTTGAGCAGCCCAGGCCGCCAGCTCAGTGTACGTAGCAACTGGATGTTGCATGTGATGAGCATAAAGCTCGTGCTTTTCGGCCAAGGTCATGCGCAACTTCATGTTTTGAAATGCTAACCCAAAACTTGCTCCAACATGCATGTGAGCTTGAATTTTCGAATTCACCTCCAGTTTCGCTATTTATAAGTTTACAAAAATTATTCAATTTGACCCGTTTCAAAGAGCGAGGGAAATCAGTAGTTTTCAAAATGAGCATTATCCAATCAAAACGATCTCTAACTCATTTTCCATTTTTCAAAATGGGGTACATGACCCCATTTCATCCCATTTTGGGCACCTCAGCTATTTTCCCAGTGACTGGCTAGTAATGGATACCTACTATCCAATCATTGATCCCAATCTCATTTCAACTTTTCAACTTGACATCATGGACTCGACGACTGATGTAGCACTGCGGGAGGAAGCATAGGTAGTTGAGGGCGGCAAAATGCACAATGAATTAACTGAGGATCTACTAAGATCTTCTTAGTCCTCATCCCTATTAATCTTCTTAATCTACTTCACTACCGGTACTTCTACACTAATATGCACTTTTGTATACAATGGATGCGGGTGCGGTTGAGACATTGGGGAACTTCACTAGGCTAGCGCTTCTAAGCCATACATGCCCTTGAGACACATCCCCAGGCAAGCATTAGATAAGGTGCGTCATGAGCCAGGTACTTAGGAGCTGGGTGCGGGCAAGGTGGTGGTAAGGCGTTACCCCCACCTGTCACATGATGAAACGATTCAAGTTATTTGAAGAAGGTGGTGCGCCTGAGCCGTACGTGCATGCGACATGGCTGGTCCATCAAGAGGCAATTTGTGCTGAAGAACTGTGCCTACCTGCCAAGGGTAAAAAGCGCGTTGGGCGATCAACCATCGACGTTGGAGGGCGCATCCTTACCTTGGCTTTGCTGAGTGAAATTGATGCCACTGTGGATGAACGAAAGGCGGCCACCAAACTAAAGCAGGCAAAGCGAGCAAAGAAGCGGAAGAAACGGCACCAAGGCAAGCAGCTTGATTACGACGACCATGATGATGGGGTTGACATGGACGAAAGAGGCAGCGAGGACGGACAGCGGCTTGGAGGCGCCACGGAAGACGTAGAGCTTAGAGGCGCCATGGAGGACAAGCAACGTGGAAGCAGCGCGGACGCAGGGTAGGTTGGATGCCGTGCAGTGGGGTCGCTATTGCTCTTGGACACGATCGTAGTCTATATGAACCATCAAAGTTGATGAACGGTACCTCATTGTAAACACCCCGTCGATTGGTTTCATGACCTTTGCATTGCCCGTCATGTAAAATCGAAAATGAAACACTGCGAGGAATGTTCCTTGTGAATTCATAACCTGTAAAACTTAATTACTTTCCTGTTATAACTTTAGAACCTAAGCACGAAATTTTGAAGCAAGTATGAATATTGTGCTTTGCACTTGTTTTGGCGTCAGTTTGACGTGGCTAAAAGAGTGGTACTTCTGCTGTAACTGTGTTACAAACTTGAATAAATACCTGGTGTTTTAGCTAATTCACTGGGGTTTTGTAAATGCCAAATAACTCTGAGCAATAATAATCACATGTGATGCTGAAGTGACCAAAACACCTTGGCTATTAGTTCCATCGCGTAGTACAGGCTACCTGCATGTACTATGCGATAAAACAAGAAGATGGCTTGGTTTCAACGATGTGGCACCATGCGTACATCGCTGTACGGTAGAACTCCGCCGCTTGCCCTCGCTGTGTTTGTAATATCAAAAGTTGTTTATGGTGACCAGTGAATTGTGCAATTTGGTCCCAAGAATAGCAGATATAACTTCGATAATACCCAGGTATATGGTGTGAATAGCCAAAACGAGTGAAAAGCACAATACTATATTCAAGATAACAAGATGTGTCCTAAATTGATTACCAAAATTTGATTAAATTTGCTTTGTTATTGTTGTTATTGACTCGGAGAAGTCAGCGAAACACTATAAAATGGACACGTGGTTGTTCCGCCAGATTTCCTCCACATTCTCCATGTTTCAGAGGTCGAAAATGTTGTGTTGGCGTGGAGATTTGGAAGTTCTCCCGAGCTGGCTCCTTCAGATGTGTCGTAAATTGATTTTTTACATTACACGAGGATTTCACTGAAACATTCATGCTCTTCCGAATGCGACGAACTGGTTTGGTGACCTATTAATTACGTAGTCCTACTGTAGCAAAACTATTAATTAGGCCCTGGTTAGGGAAAAATCCAGAACGAAAACTGATCCCAATATCCGGAGTACTTATCCGGCCACAAATCTCCAGTCAAATGTTCTGTCCGGGGAAAAAAATCCACTACCAGTTATCCTGCGGACAGCAACAATGGTCGCGACCCATGTGGTGATTGTGACGTTGGCAGTGGCTTTGGTGGCTGGCCCTCTGGCTGTGGCGGCGTTGGTTGTGGCGTGGGTGATGGCCCCTGCTGTTGTGGCGGAGGTGTTGCAGATGCTGACTAAACATGGCCGGGTTCGTTTTCAGATAAAAAGATCTGAAAACTGTCGGAAATTGGTAACACACTTCGAGCAAAGGCACCCAAGGGATGCTACATGATTGGTGACGCTGGATACGTGTTATTCCCTTGGCTCATAATTCCATACCTTCTTTACGAAGAAGGCTGAGGGCCTTTGAATCCGTTTCAGGCGCACTTTAACTACACCCTATCAAGTATGCATATGGCTGTGGAGTGCGCATTTGGCCGCCTCAAAGAGAGGTTTCAAGTCCTGAAAGGGCCAGTGAACGCGAAAACGTTGGGCTCAACCGTGACGCATGTTATGTCCTGATTTGCATTGCACAACATGATGCTCCACTTGAATGATTCAATGTTTGACGCGAACACCGAGCAAGAACGAAATCTGTACTGCCAACCGATACAGACTCCAAGCGAAACACCGTCGAGACCAATGCAGTGTTACGTACAGTATCGAGGCATCGTAGAGACAGAATTGCAAAGGCGCTCTACAAATCATGAACACAATTTCTACTTGAACTTCAATGACTAAAATGAGATACTACGTAGTACTACTTAGAATAACAAAACTCCGAATTATCACGATTCATCAAAATTCGAGAAGTCGCTCTAATTGACCAGACTGTCCATCGATAGCGGCAGTTTGAACCTCCAGTGCGGACAAGATTTTGTCGTTCACATCACTACTCGGAGTAGCACGCAACGACGATACCACGGTGCCGATGGAATTCAAGCCAGTTCCAACAGCTTCCAGGCCTTTCAAGCGTGGCTCCGCGTGCGACGGAGACTTCTCTTTACTGTACCACGTCATCGCTTTCCACCATGGTTGAACTGCCATCACTGCCGTAATCGCCTGCATTGGGCACAACGTTGCCGTTATCGGACACGTCAAGTTGAGTGTTACTTGTAGTAATGTCAGTAGACATTAGCGTCTCGCGGCTGAGGCCCGCAATACTCCCCCAGTATTCGAACATGATTAGTAAACCGGCTTCATACGAACCAAACGACCGTTTCCTGTGGTCTTCACTCGTGGCGTAAACCACGACTTTTTCAGGTCGTGCAGCTACAAATATTCTACTTCACTCAAGGATATAATGCTAGATGACCGTGTACAATACAGTAAGTACATTACCTTATTTTGCACTTGTAGTACTTCAAACAGTCTGTCCATTTTGATGGATAGCTCGGCAGCAAGAAAGTCATATGCGGCTTTCTTCATTTGATTGTTCTTGACTCCATCGAATCGAGGGCCCATGTCGTTGTATCGGAGGTGGAACATTGCAACGATCGACGTTTCACACCACTTGGCCTTGGCCATCGTTCGTTGGTGTAGTGTTGGTCATACGTGCACCGCTCGGACCCGAGGAGGACTTGGGAAGCTTCGCTGATTTCCGCGCCTTCGTGGGCTCGACTGTGTCGGCGGCACTAGATGTGAGCTGTGTTTGCTTAGCCATATTGACGTCGACAAAGCAAGAAGGACAGTGAGAGTGAAGCCAAATGACGAAGGTCAAATATGATTGGTTATCTCACACCACATTAGGTCTCAAAACCAGTGACTGAGTGAATAGCAATAGTCGATGCAATTTTGAATTTCGCTGAACGCTATCCAAGAATACTTTGTTCTTAGTCAGTCACACAGGGATTGGTAAAAAACAGGCGTTTAAACTAATAACTCACATTGATGCTGTGATCGAGTGTACAGTTTGTGAACTATTATATACTGACTACCCTATTAAAAAACAAAGTCATTTCGGAAATCACTAGATACTTTCCTGTTGTGCTTGATGACCTTGTGATGATCACAAGGTCATCAAGCACAACAGGAAAGTAGGTACGAATCATCAAAAAGAATCGAAAAATATGATCATTCCCAAAAGCAAATAAGTCTGCAAAATAAATACAGGAAACATTGCCAATCAAATCTTGTAAGCGGGAAAACGCTGTATGGCCATCATCACACCATTCATTTTCAATTTTTCGCTACCCTACGACAACAATGCATTTCACCAAGACTTGCTGACGAAGGTCGGCGATGAAACAACCATGCCTGACAACGGGAGTTTGCGGAACGAGTACCCAAACTCATGGGCTTTGCTGGCTGACAAGGGTTATCAAGGCCTCTACTGCCATATGCGTGCAATCTCCCCTGCGAAGCGCCCTGCCGGAAGCGCCCTACCGGTGGTTTATTGCCGGTGTCAGAAATGACTGCCAATGACAGGATTGCCAGCGATCGTGTTGTCGTTGAATTTTTTTCGGGCGATTGAAGCCACTTTGGACCATCATGAGCGAGTCGTACTCTTGGAAGCGTGATCATTATGATCTTTTTTTCAAACTTGCGTTGCGTTAACGAATGTTCACATTCCTTTTATGCCGTTGCGTGGTTTAGATGGGGAAGATTTCACGCGCTACGAGAATCGACTGCTCTCGCTGGGTAACAGAATCAAGTCCAAACGTGCTAGCTCGATGGCTAAGTATCGTGAGAAGCGCAAACATCGTATGAGCATCATTTTGCCCCCTGGAAATTCTGAAGCGGACAGTAGCTCAGATGAATGTGGCATTTTTAATTAGACAATACATTTTGTTTTTTAATTGGAAATTACATCATATTATATTATTTACTCAGTCACTGGCGTTTGCAGCACATACTTTCCAAATCACACAATGCAAGCGAAGTCACTGGGTATATTTTGAAATGACTCAGTGATTTAGTAGTATTGTTAATTTATTCGCTAAAACTCAGTCATTTATATATTGACGTGATTATTTTGGAATATGGTACAGCTCTGGCCAAAAATAAAGAGGTCTATTCGGAGTTGCCGCGCAACCCTGACTCCAAGTCTCGGGTTGAAATTGTCAACCGTGAACGAAGTCAACCCAGAATTCAACCGGATTTCGGGTAAATCAACCAATCAAATTTAAGGCATTCAGGGTAAATTTGTTCAGGGTTCGTTCAGGGTAGTTCCCCGATCTAGTATCTCCTCCAGTATACTATGGTGCAAGAAGCCTAGAAACGACGATATTTTGAGCACTATTTAGAGCATTATACCATGTGCAGTATTATTTTTTCCTGGCAAATTAACCACAAAAACGATAGATTTAGACTAAGCGAATCGATCATGTGGTTCCAATTCGCAATTGACGAAAAAATGAGAGAGCTATTTTAGTTTAACCCATCGCCTTGCTACAACAGAAATGTATGGGCTCGGACGTATTTTGGCCACCCATACGTCTTGACGTTTGTATGGGCCAGTTATCCGTACACTTTATCCGTACGTAGATTGAGTTTAACCTATCATTATCCAAGGTTTAACCTGGCAGCTTACTGTTTAACTCTCATCTCAAGTAGGTTTTATCCCAAAATATATAGGTTAAATAGAAAAACGTAGGGCAAACGATTTGGCCTGTTCGTCGTTTCTAGCTTTCGTGCACCATAACTTAACGTTACTTAGTAGTACTACTGTAGTATTTTGGGGTAGTATAAACCCGGCACAAGTACCTATCCCACAGTTTGATTGAAAGAACCGTTCGTCGCCGTAGTATGAACGACGATGTCTGTACTAACAGCACCATTGATATCACTGCGCCAATCCTTCCAAGGCGCTCGCCGCCTTCGTGGGGCATGCACAGAACCGTCGGCAAGGCATTGGACGTTAACAGTTAACGATGATATCTTGATCGTCAATTGTTACGTTGTTGTGGAATCAACCAATCACATCGTGGCGAACCCCGTAATCTGAACGGCGAAAGTCACATAAACGCACCAAGTTCGTGGCCACATGGTCCCACAATCCGACTGGACGTGATTGTGAGAGGATGGACCGACCGAGCAACTCATTACAGCCAAGAAGTGCAGGTGAACGACAACACGATGACGCTATCGAACGTGAAGATCGTCCGCAGCTGCTACCTGTCACGAGCCGCATCTACTGCACGTTCAGCGACTGCCTGCAATGTACCCACGGGTTCAACGACTCGTACTTGAGGTACGTTCTCGTTATGTGTTGGTCCGACGACCTCACGTACGGCATCGTTGGGTTGTGGTGTGCTGTAGGAGCTATCGACCGAATGGACTAAAGGTACCATGCCAACTCTCGTTCAATCCCCGTTGACCAAATGTATTGATGCTCATAGTCTCCCTAGGTGCTTCGGTACGCATTTTTCTAACTCGTCGGTGGAAGACACATGGAGGACGGACTGATGATGGCCCTCCGACGTGTGTTTAGATGCTTCCCACACTGCTGTCCCACGCACATGCTCAACAGCACGTGCGGCACGTCCATCGTCATGCAGGTCGCGGGGCAATTCTCCCATGACGAAGCCATGTCGTTCGTGGCGTTTGCTCGGTTTGAAACGACATCGGACCCGCCGTCCTTCCCCCTTGGGTACCGTCTCCCGGCTGCGAACTTTGCCGATTCCGACTCGAAGGCATCTGTGTGGTATCCTGGAGGTCGCTCCACCAACGAGCCCTCCACGGTAGGATACCAGTCTGCCCGCGGATATGATCTGACGACATGCCATCGTAGGTTCTCATGCGATACACCTTCAACGAGCACATGCAGCGTCCATGGAGCTACGGATGGACGTCCAGTGCGAGCGCCGCCTTGCGCAACACCCTCCATGTGTTCAAGGTACCGCCTACTGGAACATGTTGTCAATCAATCATCGCATACTGTAGGCGTATTTATTTTGCTCGACGGGCGACTTTCTCCAAGTGGTGGGCACCTCACAGTCGCGGGGATTCTCCATTATCCCGTATAAGAGTGCGATGGCGGACAAGCGCGTCGTCGTCCGCGCGCCATCTACCGCCGCCGCTGTGTCGACGACGCCCGCCATCGCCCCTTGCATGTCTTCAGTTCTGTTTCCATGTCATTTTGTGCCGTGTGCATGTGATAAGCCCATGTTTAACGCCAACTACATTCGGTATAAAGCTATAAACAATCTAATATTTGTGATGATAAAAAATCCCTTGTGTCTGTATGCAGGTGCAATCGCTCGAACGGCAGAAAAGTAAGATTGGATGAGCATTTGATGGATTTGATAGCTCGTATCTAATATATATATATATAAATATTCTTGTGTGTGTAGCAACTCCGGTGACCAAGCATTCCCAGTGGTATCAAGCATCCTTCCCGAGCTCATGAATGGACACTACTAGGTGTTTTCCCCACTGCTGTCCCGACCATAACCTTCACTGCAGCTGTGGGGGGCCCATCACCGTGGCCGTCCATGTCAACCACCCGTTGGACGGCCAATTGGTCATGTATGCCCACGGGGAACGAGCGGGGGAAGCAGAGCTGGCGCTGCACGAGGAAATTTCCCACGACGTGATTCTGTCCAACTTGCACGAACCAGGTCACAACGACCGCGGCGACTGGGTACCCGGCATATTGCAGCAGCAGCAGCCGTCTGCTTCTGCGTCCTCTCAGTCCTCCACCTCGGTATATGTTGTATCTGCTAAAAGCAATATATATATATATAAATCGACTCGAATACTCCATGATTCCGCTTGAATATGAAACGTGGTATATATATATGTGATAGACTCGAGTGCTGTACACGTTCAACGAACTCTCGACGCAGTTGGGATGGCCATACCATTGGAAAGGCAGCGCGACCAAGGCCGACCGCAACCAACAACACGTGTTCAAGGTAATACAAACCGACTTGCTCACGTCATATGTGATACTGTATTTCACACAGGCCTATGTATTTCAACTGTTACCTGACAACCAAACCCTGCGCGTGGTCAACTGGATCTCGTCCACGCCGTTCACCATGTCATCGTTTCGACGGTGCAACACGACGCCGACGTCCCGAACCAACAAGTACATCCAAGTCATCCCCACTGAAATATCAGACGTCCGGAAACCAACAGTGTCGCGGAAGCGGTCGCATCATGATCATGTGGACTCACCCACGACGCTCCTCAACGAAATCAACTCGGCGGGGTAGTTAGTTGGTGTTGTTTAGTCGAATGTGTTGCAATCGACTGCTTACCAATTACAACTGTACTACTAGTACTACTAACTACTAGTAGTACTATACTAGTACTACTAACTACTACTAGTACTAGTACTATTACTACTAACTACTAGTACTGTACGACGATGTCGTCGTTATAATCTACCCATCCAACAACATCGGGTTGCACTTGTCGGGCAAGTATGTCATCGTGACATGTCACATCGTTGTGGATCGACAAGATTATGGCAAGGAATGATATGTCATCGTCACCTGGTTGCAAACGCCCCGTCTCAGCCGTCGAGTCTGTCATCGTGACATGTCCAGAAAACGGCACTTTGCCCTACTAGACACAAACGTCCTAGGCCATATCGTGTAATGGGATGATCTGTCATCGTGACATATACACTCACCACGACAACCAACAACTCACCACCACGAAAAAGTCTTTATATAAATAGAACACCACTAATACTTCAACAATATGGTACTTCGAAGTGCTTTTGTCACCCGGCCGAGTGCAGGTCATGCAGCACCGACGGCGGCGACTCGATCCGGTCCAGCGACCGCTTTCGCGGCACCGGCGCCACGAGGTCTGTGATTTCAGTGGGTTTCACTTCAATGTACGAGTTGGTTCGAGAAGTCGGCGTCGTGTTGCACCGTCGAAACGACGACATGGTGAACGGCGTGGACGAGACCCAGTTGACCACGCGCAGCGTGTGGCCGCCCCGCAGCACTTGAAACACATATGCCTGTGTAAAGCATCACGTCACCATCGTATATATGACGTGAGCAGGAGCAGGTCGGTTTACATTACCTTGAACACGTGTTTACGGTTGCGGTCCACCTTGGTCGCGCTGCCCTTCCAATTGTACGGCCATCCCGCTTGCCTCGAGTTTTGGTTGAAGTTGAACAACAACGTCGTCTACAACCAAACATAATAACAACATGAGCCTGCGTGGCCAAAGAAGGGGACGGTAGAGGACGCACGGGGGTGGAAATGCCTGGCTGCACCACGCCCTTGACCCAATCGCCGCGCTCGTTGCCTGGCTGGTGGAGTCGCGACAGGATCAGGTCGTGTGGAAGCTCGTCGTGCAGGTGCAGCTCGGGCATGTTGAAGCGCTCGCCGTGCGCATACATGACGAGTTCCTTGGCGGGCCGTGCGAGGGGCGGCGCGAGCGACAAGTTGACGCCGCACATGATGGGACCGCCGCAGCTGCAGTGCAATATGTGTTCCGGGCAGCAATGCGGAAAGCACCTGCACACGTGCACACACACTCAACCATGAGCCAGGTTGCTCTCCATAGTACATAGGTATAGCGAGGTACATATGAGTGTGTACCTGAGTTGTTTGCGGCCGTTTGCTCGGTTGCACCTGCAACCAATATTAACTGTTAGTTTGAAAAACCATGGAAACGCATGAACTGTTAACGGTTTGTTCGAAACAAACACAGAACTGTGAGAATTGATATATCACCACCGTGTACCGGATATAGTTGTCGCCAAACATGGGTTTCTCGCACTGGCACGAGACAAAGTGACAGTCGAAGGCCGACGATGCTGGCGCAACGTCGATGATGTCGACTGAGATGGAATCGGGCGGCACGGTGTCCACCGCCTCTGCATGAACCATTGAATGACGAGTACGAGATGGCAGTGGTAGGTATGTACCGTGTCCCAGAGGTTTGTATGGCACAATGATAAACCCAGGAGACTGCGCGATGCCCACAAGTTGCAGCACATTCGGGGACTCTGCCATGACGTGGAACAAGTACCCCTACATATGATGCTTAGCGGCGAGGTCGACACACAGATAGGGTTGACATGCCTTGAAGACATGCTGAGTGTTGCGCAGGGCCGCGCTGGCGCCGCTCGTCCATCCGTAATGCCATGGGGTGTGTTGCTTTTCCTTGAAGGTGAACGTCCGCGGGTTCTACGACTCAATGTCAGGCGGCTGGTTAGGACGATTGCTCGATGCGTACCTCGTCCGACGGACTGTCGCTGGGAAACCACATTGCTAGCGAGTTCGTGGCACTGCATGAGACTTGCATGTCGTCGAGGTGCAATTGGTGGCCAAGAGAGAACGTCGGCTCGGAACACGTTTCAAAGCGGCCGAATGCTACGAACGAGTGGGCTTCGGCGGCAGAGTACTGCCCTGCGACCTGCATCACGACACTGGTGCCGCACGAGCTGTGGGGGACGTGGTCGGGGCAGCAATGGGGAAAGCACCTGTCCATCACCTTACACAACGTTCCTGTAGTGTGGAACGTAGACGATTGTTCTTACCGAAGCACCTAGACACATGTCGACATGAACGGCTAGTTTAGAGTAGAAAACGGCATGCAATATACCTTGACGCCGTTCGGTTTATAATTTCTGCTTGCCAAAAGCCACAATCAGTCCCATCATGTCGTTAAGCGAAAGAAGGGCGAAGTAGTATGTACCTGGTGTACGCGTCGCGGAAGAACTGACCGCACGTGGCACAGTCCATGAACGTGCAGAACACGCGGTTGCGTAGCGGGGCCATGTCGAATGGATCGCCCAGCATCATCTCGACGGTGTGTACTGGGACAGAATTCGCAAGATGGCCTCCACGTTGGCCGACAAAGGATTGTGTGACTGCCGGGCGGTGGCTTACGGGGCTCCTGTCCGCTGATTGGCTACCCCGTCATCAAGTCAGAAATGCATGACGGAGGAAGAGTTTTTTGTTATGTCAGAGCGCGTTTTATAGGTTTTAACCCCACCATGGAAGCCCCCGCAGGAGATGCTCGAACGGTTGGCTTGCCACTACTTTAGTAGGCCTCGTGGGGGCAGAGTTTGGGTCGGCAGATGTCGGATCCCCTTATCGGTGATTTGATTCCCTTGTCTGTGATTGGGTTGAGCGACCAATCTGTCTTATATGGACACCACGACGAATCTGTCTGCTATTGGCATCGTCCACAATCTGTCTGACAATTGATTGTAGCGCGTCGTTAATGAATGAACTGCGCATTCAATTGCTGGTATATACAGACTTGGGACTTGCATACATTCTCCAGAGCATATGTACGTACTTGGGAGACATATACAGTACAGTATGTCGTACTTTCCATATTCGACGCTTTATTTCCAACTAGAAGTAAGCGCGTATCCTAGGCTGATTGATGCCTTTGGCGACAGCTATAACGTTATGGCAAGACTTGATCGTTGACGTTTGACATGTGGCCATATCGTCGAGGTCGTGGTAGTGTTTTCTGAAGTATGTAGTTGTCGAGAAGGGGTTGCTTTGAGAGCGCCGCCAGAAAAACGTTCGAATTGTGAATAGCGTGAGTGCGTTTTACCTCACGTTTACCTCGTTTCCGCGTGGGCGTTTTTTACTTCCGCATCCCTATGCGGAATGGACCAATCACAACGTCGGCATAGACCCGACCTTCTCGAAGGCCGAGTTCAGACGATTTGTTCAATATAGTTGGCCTTCCAATCAACGAGGGTTTGGCACGCACAAAGACGGCCCGATTCCAAGCCAAAACGAATTGACCTGTGAATGGTCTGCAGCCACTGATTCTGTTGACTGGTTCTCTGCGGCCAGATGATATGTCATCGTGACATATCAATGCTTGGGGCGTGGATGGGGAGCTAGCTGCCGTGTACGGGTGGGCCGATACTAGTAGTAGTAGTTGCTTGCAACGGCAGTATTTGGTCGAGTTGAGTTGTTGCCACCGGTTCGTTCACAAGCACATGGGAGGTTTATGATAGGAGGAATGCACGCCCATATAAGGTGCAAGTACAGTGTACCCGTTGGATGATTACGGGACCACTGGTGTCCAATCGAGAAAATCGCAATATTACGTGTGTCTTTGGCCCGAGAATCTCTGCGAACGCTGGGGATGGTTCCAGAAACAAGAGTAACAAATGATTAATCCTCCACACCTACTGCACTGCTTTCATATTTCTCTACGGGGGTCGACGCCTCGTGTGGTCCTTAGCCACCCATTCACACGGATCGGGTGACAAACGCCAAACGGTTTTTATATCTAGGAATGGTAATCTCTTGCTTTCACTATGCGTCCTTTCATCTTTTTCATTTTTAATCTAAACCTCGTGAAAATGTATGTTCTGGCGAATCTGGACATGGCCAAAATCTCGACGAAAATCAGACAGTCTAAAATAACTACAGGTACAGGATCTGCGATGACGGCTGCCCTTGAGACAATGCTGGAGGATGGATACATCCTTCAGTCGCATTTGGAAGACTGGTTATTGGCTCATGATGTGCAAAGGCTCCTCTAAAACGAACAGTCTGTTTTGCGGGAACTGATGTGATCCAATGGTTATGTAGCTACTACTAAATTTACCATGACGAGGGGGCAACGTTGCGTCTGCGCGAGACTGAGGACTGAGCTTGTTGAAAACATACAGTATGCAGCGAGGTACAGTAAGCTTATGTAGCTAGCTCCCCTTGGATTTTCATCTATCATACTTCGAAGTACGACCGATGCAATGGCATCAGTGGGGGCAACTTGACTGTAAGCCACTTTTAAGTACTAGTTAGTAGTATTACTATACCGGTAGAATAATGTGCTCAACGTTTCAGCCATGATATGTATTAATATCCCATTCCAAAATCGAGCGCTGCACAGTGCTCAAGTCACCCAAACTGAAACTTGGTGGTCTCGGTACTACTATTAATAGTATGTACTGTAGTTCAGGCAGACCACGATATATATATGTACGTACAGCACACACGAGTGATTTGCGGTTGGAAATATACCTCCCTAGTACGTACTACCACTACTGCTGCTCGTTGGTCGTGATAAAGTTGAGCAAGTCGATGCGCGTGGCAATGTGCAGCGCGCCGTTGTCGCCCTGCACGACGGCAAAAAACTCCTTATCGAACAGCTCGGCGAGTTCCCCCAGAGCCGTCGTGGACGTCACGCGCGCAAATTGCTGAAACATGCCGCGGGCCACGGGGTCCTTGGCGGCGAGGCGGCCGGACGCGAGCTTGGACAGGATCTGACCGTTGGTCACGACGCCGTGCAGCGTCCCAGACACGTCGACCACGGGAAACTGGTCGTATCTACGTAACCATGAGAAAGATGACGTGATCGCATGTACGACGTAAACATGACAGAAAGATGACGTGATATGTCCGCACGTACCCCTTGGCGTCCATGAGCTCGGCCGCCGCCTTGCACGAAAGCGTCGGCAAGATCGTAAACGCGGCCGGCAAGTGGAGCGCCGCCACCGGCTGGGTCGACCACCACGTGGTCATGCTCTTCTTGAACTTGGTGTAGTTGGTCGACTGGTGCAGCGAATCGTCGACGAATTCGTTGTCAAACATCCACTGGTCGTTCAAAAACTTGGTCATGTAGTTACGCGTCGAGTCGGCCAGCAGCACCACGCAGCGCTGACCTTCCTGGAGCGTCTGCGCGGCTCGGAGGGCGGCGGCGACCGTGGCTCCGCACGACCCGCCCACAAGCAGCCCTTCTTCGCGGATCAGGCGGCGCGCCATCACAAATGACTCTTGATCTTCCGTCTTGATCCATTGGTCCACCAACGACCGATCCAACACTTCCGGAATAAAGTCATACCCAATACCTTCCACCTAACATCATTTAAACAAACAGTTAGGATATCCAATATAAATGAAACTTGTATTGTCGATTTGATATACAAATTTGGGGAGGGGGTGCAATCGAATCGCGCAAACCGATCCACAATCGATCTGATTGGTTGAATTTTATTGAGAAGGTTTTGATTGGCTAATAATTTTGAGCTCAACTGAAGTAGCCAATCAAATCGATTTAAATTCCAACGAGAAACCACGCCACAACACAATGAAATTTCACTCGAAAGCACAATAAAGAATTCTGTTTTTTTCATTTATCTTGAAGGACCATGAATTCTTTCATATACTGGAGTACTACTGTATATGGATGGGACCATATAAATAGGTTTTGGCTTATTTGTACACAACCGGTTGCAAATAAACCAAAACTTTGTTAATCTATGATCCAATATAATGGAAAGTAATAAAGAATACATGGTCCAAGATGAATGAAAACCATACAGAAGAAGTAGAAAGGTAAGATTCATGGGTACCTTGTACCCACACAGCCGGTTGTGGTCGTTCAAGGCTTCGGGCTGCGCGAGAATCGACCCGACAGGGTCCACGCCCACAACGATGATGTTGGGGAGTTTCTCCTTCAACTTACGCGCAATCCCGGAAATGGTGCCGCCCGTGCCGGCGCTCATCACGATCATGTCGATGCGGCCGTCGCATTGGTACAGCAACTCTTCCGCCGTGCCTTCGTAATGCGCCTTCGGGTTGGACGGGTTCGTGTACTATCATTGAATAGTGTGAGTCTACATGGAAACGTGATGGACGAAATACCTGGTCAAGGATGTGCGCGTTCTTGATTTCTTGCTGCAAGCGCCTAGCCACGCCGATGTGGCTCTCGGGGGAATCCCATGCCGCTTCCGTGGGAGTCCGAATGATCTCCGCGCCAAGCGCCTTGAGGACATTGACTTTTTCCGCGCTCATTTTCTCGGGCAGAGTGATGATGCAGCGATACCCGCGCAACGCCGCCGCGAGCGCGAGCCCAATACCCGTGTTTCCGGACGTCGGTTCAATAAGCGTGTCGCCTGGCTTGATGCGGCCGCTGGCTTCAGCGTCCAGCACCATTTGTCGCCCAATGCGATCCTTTACAGACCCACCCGCATTGAAAAATTCGCACTTGGCCAGCAACTCGCATTTCAACCCGGCCTTGGCCGAGATCTTGTTGATGCGCACCAGCGGCGTGTCCCCGACGTGGCTCTACGAACACAGCGACGTGAGGGAGATACTCTTGGACAAGCTCATGACGCACCAGAATGGACGGAAGGATCTGCGGGCGCTCAAACGGCGGGAAGATGACTTGGGTCGTGTTGGTCGTCGTCATCTTGTTTGATTGCAAAGTGCGTCGTGTCCGTTCACCTGTCATCCGGACAAATATCCGGACTTTTATCCGGACGATGACCCGGCTCTACACTGAGATCTTACCACCAAGAACACTTCGTCAAATGCTACAGTACCGCAGTAGACAGGTTCTTCATTGTGACGTCCTTGCGATACATATGCTCTAGGGCTTGTTCGCAATTGCGTCGTTGGTGATCCGGTTCTCTGGAGTGTAAATAAGCACATCAAAACCCTTTCAAACGCATCAGCAATATTCCCCCAGGGACAGTGATGTGCATGATCCTAATAATGCATTGATTGTAAATAAGGGTTCACCAACGTGGAACGGTAGGACTTTCATTGCCAGAATTGCGTTGACAGTGAAAGTGGCAACGAATGTTGCCGCGTTACCGTAGTACTACAGTAGTAACTACTATTATAGTTACTAATAGTGCCTGGTACTACCGGTAAGTTACTTATTAATAGTATGGTCCACGTCACCTTACAATGTACTCCCAGAGTACTAGTAAGCTTACTATTTTAATAGTAAGCTTATTATACTTGAAGTACTAACATTACGTATTAAAATACGTAATGTTAGTACTTCAAGTATAATATTTTCTTGTTGCGATGTCGTTTTCATTTCTCAAAATTATCCAACCAAATTCAAGTCTATTCGAATTTAACCATCGAATTAGTGTGTGACTTCAAATAGTATGAATGGTTTCACAATTGTTACATACAACTTTCAGTACAAAAAATCGGCGGATAGATTTGGTGACCCACTGGATTACTGTCAGTATTGCCCGCACAAATATCCAACTTTTAGCTGAAAGCACAAAAATACGTTTCAAAAAGCAAAAAGAATCGAAGATTATTTCTTGAATTTTGGCCAATCCGATCGACATACTGAAAACTAAATAAATACACGGTACATTTGTATGCAATCCGAACGCATGCGATTAAAATGAGATTAGTGACCTCCGGCACTCATCACTTGTTCGATTCATACGGCAGCTCGAGCGACGAGACAGCGCGGCGAGCGGCATTACATTGCGTGGCGGAGGCGCGTATGAAACGGAAGAATCCATTTGTATCAGGACACGACGAGCAGAAGAAGCAGGTGGTGCGCATGTCCATTGATGAAGAGAAGGCCGAGCCTGAAGACACGTTGATGCACGACGTGACCAAAGACCCCGGCGCCCCCGACAACGAAGACGACTTGATTGAAGTCGTGGTGCTCCGTCAGGAAGACTTGACCCCGCCCACTGATCAGTTCACATGGAATCCATCTCTCGCCACTGTCCCTTGGAGTGAACAGTACGCGGCGCTGGAACATTTCCGGCAGACAATCAAGTTCCACGCGTCGTCGATTCAATCTGCCTTTCCTGACACGTAAGTCGACATCTTTTCCAATTCAGTGAATATGTAGTGGTAATCGACCTCTTCGTGTTAGGGAATCTTGTTTGTCAGGACTTGTTGTGCCCAGCGCAGAGCACCTTCGTTCGGCGTTGACACGAAGTGGACTCTACTGCATTGCGGAATACGTGCAGTGCGTGCAAGAGTCCGCCACCATCTATCTGGGTACGTCGAGTCTTCCTTCGTCGTAGCGCAAAGTTGGTCCCTCCAACCAGCACCACACCTTCATGCAGGCGTGTTGGTTCCCGTCCTTCTCCGCCGCTCCATCAACGAAAAGAAGTTTATTCGCGATGCCGCCCATGAGGTAAACGCAGCTATATTATAATCACGTGGAAAAAACACACCAAAAATTCTTTTTATTTATATTTCATAGGCACTGGACCATATTGTGACCTATTGCAGTCCCCAAGATCTGGTGCAACTCCTGACCTCGTTTTCCAACGACAAAAATCCACATTTGGTCGCCACCGTACGTCGTTATATCACCTCGATGCCAACGTCATAATGACGTTATCTAGGCGGGCAAGTTCATAGAGAAAAGCCTGCGGAGATGTCACGACAACACGACGCCGAATCAATTTTCCACGTGGCAGCCTCACGTGGCAGCATGGCTGCCATCGCTGGCCCAATTCCTCGCCTGTCGTGTCGTGGCCTGTAAGAACGACACCAAGCGGACGTTCGCCCTACTTCGCGATATGCTGGGGGTACGTTATCGATGCAAAACCTCTGAACTAGAGCAAGTGAATCAAGAATATTCACGATGATGATGCTGTAGGCTGCCGACATGACTCAACTCGCGACGAACCACCTCGTCGGCAGTGCGCTCGTGGATGTGCTACGCCTCGTTAAAGCAGCCCCTGCCAAGAAAACACAAGGAAAGCAGCCAAGAGGATTGAGTTTGAAGGAGCGAATGCTATTGCAGCAACAAAAAGCCAACCCCAGTGCACCCAAGCAGCCACATGTAGTCGTAGAACAGCCAGATGGTGCCGCGTAATGGTGTCCAAATTGCAGTGTTTGAACTACATGTAATAGTTGTTAGTAATCCAAGTGCAATCCGTAGGTCCTTGTGGTGTGGTAGAAATAGATGGAGTGATAGAGTAAAGGTTTACATAAGGGCTAAAATAGCTGCAATTCCAGACGCTGGTGGCGGCGTCCAGCAGGTGTGGTGGATCCGTCGACGGGAGGGGGGTAGCTCACGAAGTAATTGATGTTGGCGTTCGTGGTGGCCTGGACGTCGACGGTTGGCACTGGGCCCGCGAGGTGGGGCAGCAGCACCACCACGCGACACACTCGAGCGTTGTCACATGTTTGGTCGATTGTGACGCCCGGTGACGTGGCAGAGTCCTGCGCCAGCAGACTCGCCAACAGCGACGAGCCGGTGGAATTGGGCGACACGGAGAGAACAGCTGGGACGGGGCCAAAGGTAAAGTCGGCGGCATAAAAGTCTGCCTCGTCCGTGGTGGGGTACACAAGCAGGGTCACGGAGGTCGGGGTCAGCGTGAACAAGACGGCAGTGTGGGGCTGGGGGGGCGTCAAGGGGCACGAGAGGGCGGCAAAGCAGGACGTGACCGCCGCGTCCGACGGAGCGGCCGCCTCGAGAACGCTTGAAATATCCACGAACGGCTGCGACAGTCCCAACGACGTGGCCGACGACACCATCTCGGCGTAGAACGCCGTGCTGAACGACCCGCACGGACACGGCGACGGAGCGACCTTGTACTGGGACAGGTCGAGGGGTTGGACGGTCTTGACCAGCGTGGCCTGTGTGGCTTCAATTGGACGGTCGAGGCTTTGGCGGGACGTGAGCACGACCAGGTGTGGCAACTGGCCGATGTGGTTGGTGTAAGTAATCGTGATGTCGTTATCGCCGTCGAGGCTCACGGCATGTGCGACGTCGATGGTCGTGGCCGTGGTGACGTTAGCCAGCTGCGACTGGAGACTCATGACCAGGTCATTCGGTCGCCAGTACGTTGTCCATGTAAACGAAGCCACGACCGTGCCGTCGTCCATTCGAAACTACAGTATCAACACGGATGATATGTCATCATGACAGGTCCAACCAATAAACATACCACCAGGCGGGCGGTGTCAACTCGCCTCGGTAGTCGCAACGTGTGGGATGCGGGCGTTATCGTGAGCGATGCCATGCGGTCCACGGCGTCGGTGGACGACGGGCAGCTGGACTGCACAAAGCATACAGTTGCCGTGATAAATTGCCGCCACGCCGTGACCGACGGCGCTCGGCCCTGGCAAGTCGCTAGGGTGGCGGCAGGAACTGTGTCGACATAACCAATTGGAAACGATAGAAACACCGTGGGGTAGGCTGAGCCGACACAGGTGGCGACGGCGGCACACGCTTCCGATTGCAGGCACTTTAGAGTCAAGTCGTGACAGGCCGCACATCGATCTATTGTCTGCATAAGACAATATATATATAGACGGACGGATAGCGGAGGACGCACCGATGGCCCCGACGATGGCCAAAGGTGACGGAGAAGGGGGGGGCGGGGAGGTGGACGAAGCGAGAAGGTACGGCGACGAGACCACCGCCAAGACGAGTTGGGGGGTGATTTGGTCGAAGGATGCAGTGCCGCTGGATGCCTCATAGTCCACTTGCGGCAACGCTCCAATGTAATTGGAGTATTCAACCACCACCTCCCAGCCCAGTTGGGGAAAATCATTGTTGTTATTGGTTAGCAATGTCGGGTGGATGCGGACGCTTACGGCGGACGCCACGGGCATCACGAGGTCGTACACCAGTGTGGCGAGTGCCGATTCATCGGATGTTTGGTCAATGACAAGGACGACGGAAGAGTCTTGGAGAGTCATCTAACCCGCATATTGAATGAACTGCATGGCCAAGCATGGAAAGTAGGTGGTGTACCGTGAGAGTTAGGGTAGCTAACGCTATAAGTTGCCACCGCTGGCGTGGCTTGGTGGGCTGTTGAAACGTCGTCATGAGCGTCGACGTGTGGTGCAAATAGTGGGGTCGAGAGAGAGCGCATTGAATGGCTGCTGCGTGGACCTGCCATGTGGCGTCGTACGAGTCGTCAAAACACGCCAGCACTGTCTCTGTCAAGTCGGACTTTGTGCCAGCACTTGCGGTGGATTCGTCGTCCAGTAAGAGCTGGCTAAACACAAGGTATGGCATGCAATTGTAGTGGTCGACACATCCTGCAGAGCCCTGGCACTGTTGAACGAGGTAGTCGCATTCCGGGTTGGGCAGGATAGCATAGGTTGCTAAGGGCATCATGTTTGTTAGCTGAAATAAATAGTAGTGGGGGATTACGGGGGTCGACATGGGGTAGCTGAACGTTAACAACAAGTGGACTTAAGCCTCCAGTGTCTTGATATGACTTTGTGGTGGTCATATGGATGGGCCCCCCCACAACGGGAGTGACAGACACCTCTCGAACGTCGGCGGTTTGCAATACATGCAATTGCACTGCCAACACCACGTCATTTGTACTCGTAGGTCCATGGTGGGGCTGGGTAGTTGCGACTCGAAAGTATAACGTCACGTCTAGAACTTCCTCTGTCGTTTGCAACGTCCTACATACAAATGTCAAGACAATGGGGACAACTTTGAGGTACAAACCATGTGGCAAACTGATCGAGCAGTAGGGCCGTCGCATTGACGTTGACAAACTGGACGTTGTGGGTCATCTCCACCAAGTCGAGCACAAGCGGGGGTGATCCTGTCGACATCAGCGACAGCTCCACGCAGAGCTTCGTCACACAGGGCCCGGATGGGGGATTGCCGTACGAATCGACGGAGGTCGAGCGTTGCAGAGGCACTAGCTGACGAACGAGACACACGGGCGAAGATTCTTCAGCAACGCCCTTCCACGGAGCAGCCGACGACGGGTACTGGGTGGGGAGGGCTGAGTACACCCCGTCGGCTCCTTCTAGTACCGTACAGTTGGGCGGGGGGGCGTCCACGAAGGGCAAAAACGAGTCGTGCCATAGCTCCAACGCGTCAAAGCGGGTGAGCAAGTCCGCACGGTGCCACGGGTCCCGTACTTGAAGTTCCCATAGCGTCGTGTGATCCGTGGTTGACTCGGCCACACACTGAACGTTGTCGTAGCTCACGTTAAACAAGACCGCAAACGCCACCCGAACTTGGGCCGTCCAGTGCGTCAGTGGGCCGTCGCACGCGAACCTCAAGTGCGACGTCCACAATGTTACAGGAACTGGTTCCACCACGTTGACGCCGCCTGGCGTCCACGCCGTGGCGAGTGCCACCACGCTTTGAGTTTGCTCCAAGAGGGTCGAAATGGGGTCATTGGCTGCGTTCACGACCATGTCGATGACGAGGGAAGCGCCAGGTAGGTCCGTCGTGTTGTCAGGGGGGGGGCTTGGCTCGGCGCTGGGTAAGAACACGAGGCGGTTGAATTGCCACACGGGGGGCGATGACGTCGGCTGGTTCGTCGTGGCTGCATTCAACGCGTCGACTAGAATCTCAATGTCTTGGTAGATAGTCTGCAACGAATAAGGTGTTTGGCGAGCAAACGAACGAAGGTACACTGTGGGGGTACTGCTTCCATCGGTCGTCGACGTTGTTGGAAAGTATACCGGCGTGCGATAAAACAAGGGTTGTACTGCCAATGACAAGTGACTCGTGGGACTATCATAACAACAACATTGTCAACATGGAAGAAAAATGGTGTTGCAGTCCAGGCAGCGAGTACGTTCTAATGATATCTTAAACACCATACGGCTATGCACCTGGCTGGTGCCGTGTTTTCATCTGCGTCTCTCTCGACAGAATACGTCAAGAGCGTTAGATTTGACAGCGATAGAATTGCCTGGTGTAAGGCCAACCCTTGGGCAAGCAGGTTGTCGACGATTCGGTCCCGATAGCTTAGTTCAGATGACATCTATCGCGCATATCTGTTAAGGAGATAAGACAAGGATAATGGGCCAACAAACCAGCTCCACGACGACTTGAACAATTGTCGTAGGTTGGCTATAGATCATAGGCGGCGGATGGTATGACGTGGATACGTGGACGGCGGCCGGAGACACGTCCAACACGAACGCGATGGCGTGCTTGACACGTATACGCAACCAAGATGACGTGGCGAAATCCTGAGCTAGCACGAGATACAGGGCCACGTATGGAGCAACGGGCACGCGTGGAATGCTAGCAAACGAACTGTCCCAAAGCAGCTAATTCGCAAATGTCAATTATTGAAAAACAAGGATGCACCAACCTGCCATGGAAACACGGCTGCGAATAGGTTGAATCGCAAGGGTAACGACGAAATGTTTGTTTTGACGCCGCTCCATGTGACAGAGTTGTGCCACGCCTGGACAATTTGGTTGCGAGGCGCAACGTTGGTCAATGCCACGTCCAGCGTCACTTCGAGCCGGCCTTTGGACTGAAAGGACAGCTCAGAAACACCGATCACATTCGCATCTACCACAGTCACGTTCGTGTTGGCACTTCCTGCGCGTGCGAGGAAATCTTCGAGCGCGGTGGTGATGTTGGAGGCTTCAGAATTCAAGTCGCCAAGGGAGGCCGACAGGGACATGAGGAGGTGCACCTGGACAGATCGCGGGCTTGTGGCTAGGTTCATGGAAAACGGCATGTATGCCGGACCCGTCTGTGACGTCATAGCCGTCAGCATGAGTACAGCACCCCACCAAAGTCCTCGCATACTTATTTTTGGCTGTGGATATGCTACTGGTGTGCTAAACTTCACCAAATTGTCGAAAGGTATGCAATCGATGATTGGCTAATCCAAACATCGAGATCTGAAACCGCCATCATAGTTCAGGCGTCGCGATCGCACTTCGATGTCAGAGGACGTACCTGAGAGCCAACCGTCGCCTGTGCCGTCGACGACGTTCATGACACCATTCGACTTGACGCGAGAAGAGGAAGCGGACCTGCACGACTCTGCGCGTTCCAAGGCCAGTGCGTTGCTTGCGGCGACTTCAAATCCGCCAGGTCCCGAGTGGACTCGGACAAAGTCGCTGGGGCCATCCATCTTGGAATCCACATCGCCAACGCAAGCAAGCGTGCGGGCAACTGCATTAATTCGCGGCTCGCCGGAGCTGGTTCTGCAAGTTCTCGACAGCGCCGTCGTGTCTAGCTACCGCAACGCCATGCGACTGGTGTATCAGCACGCATTTGCCGACACAGCGGTGCTGTACCATCACCAAATGAACAGTCACGAGTCACTGGCCGTTCAGTGGACAGCGTTTCGCTGCCACAATCCTCTGCTCACGGACATTGACATGTGCTGTGTTGAGTACACCAACATCCCGCTGTTTCCACCAACATCACCCAAGCAAAGCCGTCGCAGCACCAACCAAGAAGACAGGGACCCTAATGACGACGAGTGTCTTGGTCAAACGTGCATCGGGTATAAGCTGTGTGAATCCATTACTCGAAAACAATGTCCATCGCTGCAAGACTCGCATTGCCTTGAGCGCGTATCAAGTCCACTGTGGGGCTACGCGTTGTATCCTTCGAATAACGGCATCCAGGTCGTGTTTACCATGTCACTCTCCCACGACTCATCTTCGCCGCGACGGCTTGCCAACCGCCGACTGCTTCTCTTTCTGGCCGCAGCGCTTCCCCGACTTCAGCAAGCCGTCGACGTGGTACAGCATCAACAGCACCAGTATCCCCCCCATACCTCTACCAATACCTACGACAACAATGCGCTAGAAGCATCATCTTCGTCCATTACGTGTGGACTGTGTGCACGCCTGTTTTCACATCGTCGACGCCGCCATCCGTGCCGAGCATGCAGTCAAGATGTCTGCCACATATGCAGCTCGTTCCATGACGTGGCAGTTCCTGGGGTTGGTCTGGCTCGAGTTCGAGTTTGCACCAAGTGTCGACCCCTGCCCGTGGAAACCCCGGCGGCGCCTGCGATACCACCGCCGCGACTCCGAGCCGTCCCCACCAATCAAACAACACCAATCTCCTCCACCCCCACCCCGACATCGGCTCCAGCCCCCCCCCCTATTGCCATTCGTAGTCGAATGCAGTTGGATCTGGACATGGTTCACACACCCGCACCTCGAGCGAGCCCTGGTAAGTGGGCGCCCCGGAGCCCCCTACTCCCCCCCCGGTCCGCCGGAATGAGCAAGGCCGGCTTCCACGGATTTTCAGTGCGCCATCCCCCGACCAGCCCCGTTCCTTCCCCTGGGAAACCCCCCCACAGTACTGACAGCCCACAAAGAAAGCTGTCAGTTCCGACCACGACGACCCTTCTGGGCCTCCTTGAACAAGCCACGGCAGCCATGCAGTGCAAGTTTGCAGGGCTATCGATGGTCAAGACCCCCTCCGATCCCGTCCTCCAACACTTTTTGCACGTCCAAAACAGCGCCAAGATGCTCGTTGTGCCGTCCCAGATGGCTATTTGCGCCCCTGTGTTGGCCTGCGACCAGTCACTAGTTGTGGGACATACGCACTTGGAGTCAACCCCACAAGTGGACTGGCTCAAGCTCCCCATCGTCATGGGTCCTCAAAAGGCGACCTTTTACGCGGGGGTGCCACTGAGAAGCTCCACAGGGCAATCGCTTGGGGCACTCTGTGTGTTCGACTCCACTGCAAGGGACGTCGACGCAATCCCCCCTGAAGCCCTCAAAACGCTGGACGTTGTGGCCGACACCATCGTGGCGCTAGTGGAAGGCAAGCAGCGTGTCGGACTTGATCGACGACGGAGCCGCGTGAGTGACGACTGCGAAGGGCGGGAAGAAGGGCAGCATGAAAGCCCTGCGTCGTCGCCGGCCCGGAAGCCATCCCTTCAACAACGAGGCGGATATTTGTCCCCTTCAATGCCACTCACAAACCAAGATGCAGTTAGTGTCTAGTGTCGTTGGGATGGGATCTACCAAGACATATATTTGTACACATCCATGTGATCATAAGGTCAACTCTCAATTCGCTGTCCTGTTACTTTGAAGTATGTAACGTTACTACTACAGTAGTACTACGTAGTAATATTAAAGTGCAGTTTTTTGTGAAGTTGGGGACAGAATCGCCCGGATAAGAAAGAATTTGTATCCGTACTGCGTACTGTAACGCAAAGTAACGTGGTCTATACCGGTAGTACTAAAGGAGTACGTACTACGTAGGACGGTAGTAGTACTACAGTCCTAACGTTATTAATAGTATTAATAGTATTGTCGATTTGATACAAATTTGGGGACGGGGCGCAATCGAATCGCGCCGACCAAACCAATCCACAATCGATCTGATTGGTTCAATTATTTTCTTTAGGTTTTGATTGGCTACTAATTTTGAGCTCATCTGAAGTAGCCAATCAAATCGATTTAAATTCCAACGAGAAACCACGCCACAACACGAAATTTCACTCGAAAGCACAATAGTAAGTATGTACTATTAATAAGGGAAAATACTTGGGGAGATGTTCACCCCCAAAGCTAAGACCAATCAAACCACGTTCCATAAATATCTATAGCCAATCAATACTATGTATTGAATATGCTATGTACTGTATTGCATAGTATAATCAATATTGAGGGAGAGATGTCGATAAATGCCATAAAATAGTGTGATGGACTAGTAATACAGTACTGTACAATGACGTTACGATGACCAGCATTACCTGGTGGTTTCAGTGCATTGGATTGTGGGAATGAAGAACAATGGTACCAGAGTAGTTTTAACGCTTACGATCTGTTCATACTATACAAGACCGACTTTCAAGCCTACTCGTTTAAAGCACGTGGGATTCGAGTTCGTCGATTTCTTCCGCATACTTGATCAAGTCCAAATGGTGCACAACGGGCTGGTTGCGAGGCGAGAGCGAGCGGAGGGACCCCATGGCTTTGGCGAACATTTCTTCACGGATCTGCAGCACACTCTTCGGCATGAGACCCTTGCGTCCGTCCGTGGCGTTCATAGGGATGCAAGGAAGAGGAAATGAGACAGTGTAGGCCGGATCGAGGGTCGGAAGCGCGGATTGGTTGTTGGTGAGGACAATTTGGTCCATCATGACAGGTTGGACCTGTTTGTCTTTCTTGGCCTTTGTCAATTGTTCGACATTGAATTCCACAACGCAATCTGTGCTGGATTTGCCCTGTTCGTGGACCATGAAGCTGTGTTGGAGCATAACCGGGAGCAAAATCAGGCCTGCGACTGCGAGCAGGCAGAGCTTCCACGGTTCGGTACGGGAGAGGACGATAGTGACACCGGATAGCGCCAGGACACATGTGACGACGCGTGCATGGAGTCTTACATACGTGGCAAGTTGGGAGTCGGCGTAGCGAGCGACGACAGACGTGAGCATGTCGGTGGAGGGGATGGACGTGCACGGAACTAGGCGAAAAGGAAAATAAAACATTCACCACAAACACACTTGCCGTACGATGATTGGCTAAAATTCTCGACGGGAGATGTCGTTCAGACGCGTTAAAACAACAAAAACGTAAAGCGTTTTACTGTTAATCGTGAGAATTTGCATTGCCTTGAACTTGTAGACCTACAGTTAACAGAGGTTGGTTACACTGTACTGTAGGTAGGCAATCGCTCGCAGGTATGTACTTACTCCGAAGTATACAGTATGTAAATAAACAAGGCGTTTTCATGCTATGTACTGCCATTCCATTAGCTTGCCCTTGGCATGCACATGCAATGCCATGGTAAGCGGCCACATACACCAAGGATTTTTAGGGCTCAGACATGTGCTGGTGAATTATCCAAATTTCTCATAGCGTGTACCGTATCCGTGAATTCGTTCTAGTCCATTATTCCTTCGAGACTACTCGTATTACTAGTATGTGCTATTAGTACTGTACTTTCCGTATCCGTACAGGTACTGCATTTCTCTGTCTAGAACTAGCTCAGGAATACGGTATTTAGAGGTTTGAAGTACTCTTGGAGTGAATACATGCTGTTACTATTAATAGTACAAGTAAGGTACAGCAATTTCCAAGTTTTGGAGAATGGGTGGAGGGGAGGATATAATATCGCAAACATATCAATCTACCATCGTCTGGTTTGTGGGCTTGACTCCAGGGCACCAGTGAGCACAACGGACCACCGATTTCACTGACTGGTGCTCGAAAATCTTCCAGCATGTGTACCGTGTTAGAGTGATTTTGCAAATGGGAACATTCTAATGAAATGACCCAATAACTCTATTGGAATATTCAAGTGACCGCGAGTTTTTGCAAATCAGCATACCACTTCACATGAGCCAACTTCACTCCTTGGAACATACACTACCTGTGTCATTTGAGTGCTGCACATGTTATCGTCGAGTGGGGGAATGGCGATACCTCCTTTATAAGATCTACTGCACATTAAGTTGGGTGGTGTAGCGATGGGATTCTTACTGTATACTAGTACTATAATACGAAGCAGTACTGTATGGCTAGGCTGGCTTGCTGGCTTCTTGACGAATGGTTGTGAGTGTGTAAAGTTTGTGAGGTCACTCATTCTGACTGGATATTTATGCACAGGTAACTGAACTTTTGCCAGTGGGTGCACCGAAATGTCTCACGGGATCATTTCATTGGAATATTTACATTTGCAAAATCGTCAACAGTAATATAACTCAAGGTTTTGACGTATAACGTTGTGGGTTTATCGGGCGTTAAAGTCTCGCCAGAAAGTGCACTCAGCCTCCTGACTTATGGCGTCAATTGCAATTTCGGACATCCATGGGAAACTCCCCAAATGTCTTCACATTAGTAGGAATTTTTTCCTATAAATGTCTAATTAGGCAATACCAGGTTACCCTAAGGGCATAGAGCCGATATTAACACCGGTTCTTGCATATTCCAACGACACAATCGGCGTTGCGCTGGCTTATCGACGGGTGAGTCCTGTGAAACCGACGGTTTCATCGGCAGGGGGTGAAGCATCGTTTGGGGGCGTGACAGGGGGGGACTGGCTGGACCTGCTCGATGCAGGTGAGATCATGAAGTGGGAACAAGCGAAAGCAAATAGTACATACTATATAGTACATGGCAAGATGATAATTGGTACAGTATGCTGCCATAACCATTGCGTTGGGCTGCAGCCCGAATTTCGACTGACGGTACCTAATCGAACCGTTTATCGATTGTGGTGTCCACAACTACTACCGGATAACGTTACAGTACAGTTCAAACGCTAGAATTGCGAAAAGTGGACACTTTGAACATCCTGTTGTTAAGTAAGCTTACTGCTTGCTACAGTAATGTGTGCTATGGAATCGTATCGAATCGTCATTCCACGAGTTAGAACCTCTTCAACGACTCTGTGATGTGGGCTTGAAAGGCGGTAGAAGCGGCAGCAAATGGCGATTCCCCGTCCACATCCACTTGTTCCGGGTCCGCCCCATGCTCCAACTACAGCGTGCCACGTCACACGACTCCCCTCCCATCCTTATATCGTACCAGCAAATCAACGAGGGCCACGTGCTCGCAAGTGACGGCATAGTGCAGTGGCGTCATCCCGTCGATGTCCTACCTCTCAATTCAGGTACGTTCAACCACATATAGTATTGAGTCTATGTACCGTGGCATTCACATTGGCATGTTGGGCCAGCAGCGTGGCTACGACATCGACTTGGTTCCTGTCGACTGCCCAATGCAGCATGGTCCGGCCTTCGTCGTCCTATATATATGCACACATATGAAATGCCATATGCTGTAGTTGATATTGTCACCGTTTGGTTGATGTCCGTGGCGTTGGCCACAAGGCCTTGCACAGCTTCGACTTGTCCAGTTTTGGCGAAGTGGAACGCGTTTTCTTCCACTTGCCATTCCTTGGTCGTTCTAATCGAGACATGTCTACACTCAAAGGTAAGAATGCAACGACGACGTACTTGTCCACCACCACTTGGCTCATGAGCGGGGCCAAACTCATGTCTCCGCCGAGATCGGACTCGGTATCCGACACGTCGTCCCTTGGCGGCGGCAATGGCGCGTCATACGCATACCCTGGAAACATGGACGACACGACCTCCAAGTATCGCTTCTTGGCTTCAACCGATGGCATTCCAGCCAAGGCTTGCCATGCGTCCCTGCCCATGACGTTATCGCTACACTTCGGCAGCATCACGATGACATACCATTTCGCTTTGGCGACAAAGTCCAACATGGACGGCTCGTCGCCGGCGCAATTGCCCGCCGTGGCCTGCTTGAAGAACGCGTACAGCACGAGTTTCTACCGCGCCAACGATGAGAGTTCCGCACGGTTGGTGGGGATCCGTAGTACCTCTTCGTTGGAGATCGATGGCTTTGACGACACGTACCCCGACGCATGCGCAAAGTGCTTGTCCAGGTCCGACGATGCTCCCTTGTTGCACCTGTTAAGAGTTGCTGTAGGGACTGCATTACCTCCAGCAAGGCAGGATGCGAGCCTTTGGCTTGCTTTGGAACACTTGTGTAAGAAAACACGTTGTGGAGGACCACGGCGGCGACGACTGTTGCCGCCCCAAGCCACAGGAGCGGCGCCACTTTGATAGCGTCCATCGATCTCGGATGTGTAGTGAACATACAAGACGTCTCGTAACTACACGTTAAAATATAAAACGTGTCGTCCTTTCCTGGAATGAACGTGAACGCGTTAAAACTGTCTGATTCGTAAGCGACACCTTTACGTTTGAGGCTGTGGCTGGCATGCCATAATCGATATCTGTACGTACCGCGCCATCATCTCAAACATTGGTCATCAGCGACACTACGTACGCAGCGTTATCCTGCACTTCAGTCTCTTGCTCCCGCAGGAAGTACATGGATACAGTACTGTCGTTTCTGACGTAATACAGTGTATGGAAACTCTGGGGAATCCATGTGAGAAGCACAACGATTGATGGGTGGCGTCGTTGCCTACGGCATTACCGACGCAGTGGAGTAACAGCGTAGCGCCCAAGCAGGGCGAGGCCAGCTTAATATGCTGTCGATAACGCTAGCTAGCACTTTGACTGTGAATCGTCGTGTGTCAAATATCTGCAGTCGTCTGTATCCGGCCACGTATCCGGATTGTGCCCAACTTCGATCCGTCAGTATGAATTTAACTAGCTTAACGTATACTGAAGGGGCGGTTACACTTCGACGTCATGTGCAACACAGCTTCGAACTTCGATCGTTGCCACTCCAGTCGCAACCCAATCTTGCTTCCGTCAAGCGGCAAGCCACGACACCTTCACCGCTTCTAGTTCATGGACGTAGACGACCTGCTCGATTCGGAGCTCCAGGAAGAGATAGAAGGATTCTCCGTGCCGCCGCTCGTCATGGCGGAAGGACAGGAAACCAACGAGGACAAACTCATGCGGGAAGCGCTCCTCGATGGCGCGTCGCGCGTGTCCATCTCGACCATGCTTCGTCGGCGGTCCCTTGTCGACGTGGAGACAGACATGTTGCCGCCGAGCCCTACCGTCGTGAAAACCCTAGATTTTGACGATACCGCGAGCTTCGACTCCGAATCACAGTACTCGGAGATCTCTTGCCACACCGAGGACAGCTTCATGGCGTCGTCGCCGCCGCCGCCGTCACGACTCACCAAGCCAAACCGCGTTTCATCATCGTCTTCGTCGTCATCATCTAGGTCGAAACCTGTATCGAGTCTTCCAAGGGCTCCTTCGTACGCCTTTGGATCGTCGTCGTCGACAACAGTGCCACGGACGCGCCCATCGTCGATCCCCGTGCCCCGGGAATCCTCCTTACGCGCACGAGGCACGTCTACCGCCACGTCGGCAACTTCCTCGTCGTCTTCTCGCACGTTGTCGACTCCATCTAGCATGGTACCCACGCGAGCCAGCTCGGTCAAGTCGTCCAAGCTGCCACTTAAACCGTCCCCGTCCTCTGCGCCCATCTCCCGATCGTCCGGCGACCCCAAGGCCCCGCCGCGATCTTCACGGTCATCGACGCCCGCGGCAAGCCCCACGTACGCCAGCGGCGGCAAGTCCGGGTTCGGCGGCTCTGCGGCGTCTTCCGACACGGGGCGGCCGTCGCGATCCAACTCTGTGTCATCCACCAAGTCGGCAAAAGCGGCCACCACCAGTAGTGCCATCGTGTCGCCGCCGACGCTTCTTCGAGGCAAGAGCATGTCCCAAGTATCTGTGGCCGCCCTCTTCAAAGTGCACTTCACCACCGAGGCAGAGATCGACGATGTCCTGGCCATGCCGCCGCTTCGGGCGATCGATTCCAAAGGTCGCATCGACCAAATGGACAAGTACATCCGAAAGCTAAAGTACCGATTGAGGGAACTCAAGATGCAGCGCGATGCGTTTTCTCTGGCATGTCAAGGCATCGAGCGGGATCTTACCGATGAGCACGCGGCGACCGCGCGGGCGTACGCTACGGCCAAGCAGGAGCTGCTCCATGTATCCAGTAGGGGGAGTGATGACGTGGCACGTTGTGGGGACAGGAGGGGGTCTGCCGGTGAACCGAGCGGCCCCGTCGATCCATCGCCATCTTGTTCGCTTTTGCACCCGTCTTCTTCAAAGCAAGTGCCGCCGGACAACGAAGAAGAAGACCAGAGCGTGCTCAACACATTAGACAGCAACATGCAAGAGTTTGTGAGAAATGCCATGGAGCGCAGCACGTCCCAGATGGTTGCCAAGTACCAAGCGCTGTTAGCCGAGAAAGAACACGCCCAAGAAGCCCAGCTACAGACGCTGCGGGAGTATTACACGCACTCGATGAGCAGCAGCACCGCCGATGCGTGGGCCACTGTCACGCAGCTGCAGGCGCAGACAAAAGCCCTTGAAACAGATAAGACGAGCTTGGGGTTGGAGTTTACGCAGCTCAAGATCGACCACGCTGCGTTGAAAGAGGAGCTGCAGGACTTTCAAGAGCGTGTGCGCCTCCAAGATGAAGAGAATACGTCCGCCAAGTCGTTTTGGCAGGTATAAATAACTACATCCTGGGATGATGTGTTGTGCATATTGTTGTGGCTGCTAAGGATGGAATAATCCAAGTTTGGAAATGTGTATATATATATATATATATCACTAATTGTCGTCATAATGGCGTCATACACCAATTTCATGCTTGATTGTACATACACTTTGACATGTTTTTTGCCTACTGACTATTTGTATTTTTCCGTCTCCTGAACACAAAAATGATAGAGATTTATTGTGAATTTGCTATACACTTTTAAAATTCGCCTGGTTTGTCTAATCAGTATTGAATCACGCAGGAGTTTTGATTGGTTGAATATACTTGTCCTTTCTGTAAGGGCCAATCAAAATGACTCAAAAATGGATATTAGCCAATACTAGCGTCGATTCGTGATTCGATTCGGCGGCGAGATATTAGATTCTCGACGGGGTCTGGAAATTCGTATCGAATCCACCATACTTTTGGAATAAAGACTTGATTTTGGTGTGACTGTAGAAATCCACAGATATGATCAAAGAGAACCGCCGGCTCACCGAGGAGATCGTGCACTTGACGTCCGAAGTGGCAAAAGCCCACGAAGTGATTGCGGCCAAGGAGGCAGCGATCACGGCACTTCAAGTGTCAGTGCACGAACTCGAAGTGCAGAGTAAGGGCATGGACGACGAGAAGCGCGTGTGGAGCGACCGCCTCACCACCGTCGAGGTACGTCGGTTCGACATCATGTTGGGTTTCTCAGTGAAAAAATATATATATATATAATATATATACACTGCCACAAGTGGCTGGACTGTTGTGGATAGATATATACATATATACATACGAAGGACTCCTGAACACAAAAATGATAGAGATTTATTGTGAATTTGCTATACACTTTTAAAATTCGCCTGGTTTGTCTAATCAGTATTGAATCACGCAGGAGTTTTGATTGGTTGAATATACTTGTCCTTTCTGTAAGGGCCAATCAAAATGACTCAAAAATGGATATTAGCCAATACTAGCGTCGATTCGTGATTCGATTCGGCGGCGAGATATTAGATTCTCGACGGGGTCTGGAAATTCGTATCGAATCCACCATACTTTTGGAATAAAGACTTGATTTTGGTGTGACTGTAGAAATCCACAGATATGATCAAAGAGAACCGCCGGCTCACCGAGGAGATCGTGCACTTGACGTCCGAAGTGGCAAAAGCCCACGAAGTGATTGCGGCCAAGGAGGCAGCGATCACGGCACTTCAAGTGTCAGTGCACGAACTCGAAGTGCAGAGTAAGGGCATGGACGACGAGAAGCGCGTGTGGAGCGACCGCCTCACCACCGTCGAGGTACGTCGGTTCGACATCATGTTGGGTTTCTCAGTGAAAAAAAATATATATATATAATATATATACACTGCCACAAGTGGCTGGACTGTTGTGGATAGATATATACATATATACATACGAAGGATCTAGGTGTTGTGCATTTGGAATGAATAACATACATACACTATATATTGTGAATTCGCTACAAACTTCCTAAACTCGTGTGGTTTGTCTAATTAATATTGAATCACACTGGAGTTCTGATTGGTTGAATATACTTGTCTTTTCTGTAAGAGCCAATCAATATCCACTCAAAAAACGGATTAGCCAATAACGTCGATTCGATTCGACGGGGTTTGGAAATCTGTACCGAATCCCCAATATGACGAAATATTATATGTATAATATATATCGTTTTTTAATATTATTTCGTTCAGAAGAATAATATCCATAATACATACTTCGGCGTCCATGTACCTTGTGTTTTGTATGTTTGTTTCATGCATATCTTTTTTGATTTTTCTGGTTGGAAATACTAAGTATTTCCGATGGTTCATGTGTTGGGATACTATCTATGATGGTAGGCGGCATGGCAAGAAGAAAAGTCTCGCCGGGAGCATTTTCAGGTGGCGCAGCACCAGATGACCCAGGACAACACGGCCATGTACGCGCAGATGATGGCCATGCAAACGGGGTGCGACGCCCGCCTGGAGCAGATGAAGGCGCAGTACGAGCACCAGCGGCGGACGTACGTGGACGAGGTGCGTTCCATCCCAGTTAATTTAGGATTTTTCGTTTTTAATTTAGTGATTCCATACATGCAATACATGACAGAGTTCTGGCAACTCGACCACACATAACCCAAATATGGTGACATGGGGGTGAAATAAGAGGTTTTATGTGGTTGGGTTGTAGGTGAAAATGCTACAAATGGAGAATCGAGTGATGACAAGGCACACGCGACCACCGGCGGAAGTGGTCGAAGACAAGGTATATATATATATATAATATTGGAGTTGTCGAAATATTAGTTGGGGTGTCGGGGTGGTTTGGATTGATATATATATAATATTCGATGTTGTTGAAATATTATTCGTTGACTTATATATTATATTAGTTGTTGTCAAAGTATGAAGTCGGTTTTTTGGGGTGCTTTCTATGTATGTGTGTGTGGTGGTGGGGTATATTTTTATTTATTTTTATTTCTTTATTTGTAGGGAGAATTAGAGAAATTGTCGGCGGATTTCCTCGAAGTGCGGACGCAATTGGCCACGCAGATGGAATACGTGGCCGAACTGGAGCGACAAGTCCACGACGGTATGTACCTAATACTAGTAGTGGGCAATCTAGTATTACTAGTAGTATGGCTGACCCGTACTACTTGTTTGCAGGTAACATCCAACGACGGCAAATGCACAACACGATCCAGGAACTTCGAGGGAATGTGCGCGTGCATGTTCGCCTGCGGCCGTTTTTGCCGTCCGATGGTGAATTGACTAAATTAAAAGCCAGCTGCTGGAGCGTCGACGACGACCACTCGACGATTTCCAACGGCAAACATCGATTTACATTCGACAAGTTGTTTGGCCAAACGAATGGACAAGAGCATATTTTCAATGTAATATATATATATATATATATATATATATTAGGGAAGGACAATTTTGGATGCTTCATATGCTGATATTTCTTTGTAGGAAGTCTCGGACTTTATTCAAAGCGCCATCGACGGCTACCACGTGTGCATTTTCGCGTACGGATGTATGTGTGTGTGGTGGTGGGGTATATTTTTATTTATTTTTATTTCTTTATTTGTAGGGAGAATTAGAGAAATTGTCGGCGGATTTCCTCGAAGTGCGGACGCAATTGGCCACGCAGATGGAATACGTGGCCGAACTGGAGCGACAAGTCCACGACGGTATGTACCTAATACTAGTAGTGGGCAATCTAGTATTACTAGTAGTATGGCTGACCCGTACTACTTGTTTGCAGGTAACATCCAACGACGGCAAATGCACAACACGATCCAGGAACTTCGAGGGAATGTGCGCGTGCATGTTCGCCTGCGGCCGTTTTTGCCGTCCGATGGTGAATTGACTAAATTAAAAGCCAGCTGCTGGAGCGTCGACGACGACCACTCGACGATTTCCAACGGCAAACATCGATTTACATTCGACAAGTTGTTTGGCCAACCGAACGAATGGACAAGAGCATATTTTCAATGTAATATATATATATATATATATATTAGGGAAGGACAATTTTGGATGCTTCATATGCTGATGTTTCTTTGTAGGAAGTCTCGGACTTTATTCAAAGCGCCATCGACGGCTACCACGTGTGCATTTTCGCGTACGGTCAAACTGGGTCGGGCAAAACGTTCACGGTATGTTTGTTGAATGTTAAAATATATATTTATCTTTTACGTTATATATTCCTAAGCGATCTATAATGTGGCTATATTATTGATTTGGTACAAATTTCCATACCCTGTTCAATCGAACCACGCCGACCAAATCGATCACGAATCGCTCCCATTGGTCATTCTGAAAATGCTTGTCGCTGATTGGCTACATTTTCTCAGTTTTACTTCGTGCTTTCTGCGGAATTGGGAAAGCCAATGAAATTTCGCGGCGAGGTTTGGGATCGATTTAGCAAAATCGGGGAATTTGTAGCAAATTCATAATATTTCATGGTCTAATTGTGATTGATTGTGTGGGGGATTTCTAGATGCAAGGCGGTCGTCGGCCAGAAATGCGCGGGATCATTCCTCGGGCCATGTCGTTGGTACGCCCCTCTTCGAGACCTATTAGATATATATAATATATATATATATTATCGTAGATCATGGGATGCTGCTCGACGTTGGGCGAACAAGGGTGGTCGTACTCGTTGGAAGTGACGTTTATGGAGATCTATAACGAGACCATTCGGGACCTGCTGTCGCCGTCAGATCCGTCCGTCAAGTACAGCATCCGCACGGATAAACAGGGCAAAAACTACGTCGAAAACCTGCGCCGGTTCCCCATCTCCCTCTCGGAAGGCGTCGATCAGGTGGAGCTCATCATGGAGACCGCTGCGTGCAACCGGTCGGTGGAGAAGACGGACATGAACGCCGAGAGTTCCCGCAGCCACAGCATCTTCACGCTGCATTTGCACGGCCGACGGACCGACGACGACGACGCAGCGGATGTGGACCTACTCGGCAGTTTGAGTTTGGTCGATCTAGGTATGACTGACGTCCGTGGGCTCGAAAAAATGTATATATATATATTGTGGTATATTCGGCACAAATTTCCAGACCCCGTCGAATTGAATATCTCGCCGCCGAATCGAATCACGATGAATCGACACTATTGGCTAATCCAGTAATGCGTGGATTTTTGATTGGCTCTTAGACAAAGTATACTCAACCAATGAGAACTCCAGCGTGATTCTATATTGTTGATTAGACAAACCATGCGAATACTTTTGGAAGTTTAGAGCGAATTCACAATATATGCGATGACAACGTTTGTGTATATGTATTTCAAGAGTGTGGGCAAAACGTCCTTGTTGGTGTTTTCGAGCCAAGATATATATATATGACAGCATATATTCTTTATTATATTGCGATGTATTTCGAGAGAGTGTGGGTGGAAAACACATACATTCTGAATCTGTGGTCGACGAGACAGTCGGGGTGATGAAAAGGAATGCGATTGCATTCGATTTTATATGCGAGTCCTAGTATATTATTTTAGGCATATGTATATATATATATTTGTCCATATATTATATCTATCTTAACAGTAGGCTAAACCCCAAGTTGTGACTTGTGTATATATAATGTGTAGCGGGCAGCGAGCGCATTTCTCGGTCGGGGGCGACCGGCGACCGCCTCAAAGAAGCCCAAGCAATTAACAAAAGTCTGAGTGCGCTGGCCGATGTATTTGGCGCGATTGCCAAGAAGCAGTCGCATGTTCCTTACCGCAACAGCAAGCTCACGTACGTGCTGCAGCCGGCGCTGTCTGGGGACGGCAAGACGCTCATGATGGTCAACTTGAGCCCGACCGACAACTCGGTGGACGAGAGTCTCTGCTCCCTCCGCTTCGCCCAGCAAGTGAACGCGTGCGAACTCGGCGCTGCCCAGCGCAATGTCAAGAAAGAAACCCTCAAGTCCCCCCCCGAGACCCCTCCCAAACCGGCATCGCAACTGCCGAAACAATCAGCGCTGTCGGCGATGCAGCCCCGCCTGTCGATCACCCCCAAACCCAAACTACGCCCTGGCCGATCGTCGATTGAAAGCACCTAGTTTGTAGTTAGTATATTATAGCTACCTACCTCGGGCTATTTAATCATGATCAAAATACGCCGTGTTTGGGCTACGAAGTACTACTAGTACTACATAGTACTCTCTTCTTACCAACATACTACACTTAGTTGGAAGGACATGATCACGACTACTACTTGGAAGGCGTATTCATATGATCGTTTGGATGTTGTAAAGCCGAAGTACGCTTAGTATGACTCCATATATGATGAAATTTGTTCAAATGTCCCCATTCTGATATTTGCAGCACCCATCAAGACCTGGTCGCGATCGCCGTGGTGGTGGCCTTGGGGGCGCTGTCCCTACGTCTCGCTCGACCACACGGTGTCTGCTGAGGACGTTCATATGTTGAATGTACCAGGATGCTGTTTGGACTATGTTGGTAGTACTGTACTGGTAGTGATATTCCAAGGAGGGTCACGCTACTGTCTATATGACGAGGCACGACTTGATGCAACTGAGGATTCACGGGGTTTAGAACAACGGCGAAGGGGTGAAGAGCAATGCCAGCCAGCATGACGTGAAAAGTACAAGTCGGATGGGTGTGGACTGTACTATTGTATGTAGTGCCCGTTCATCAAAGGTGGTCAGATTTAGCCTAACGTTACGTAGTAAAGAGTGCAAGATTGTGTGTATCCTCCCCTCCCCCCGCACTGCAACAGTGTCACATATATCAGACCCATTGCACCAGTGTCACATATATTAGGCCCACTACGGACGAGCTTCCAAGTGACCACCACGTTCACGCATTATTGTGCTGAGATTGGCGAGCATGTTGAAGTTCCTTGGAACTTCTCCTGGCATGCCCCTTCAACCAGAACTTTAATTCCCTTGAATACGTACCGTGGTACCCCTCACCCATGTGAAAGCCAAGGTCAAGCGACATGTAGAGTACAGTACAGTAGTCGTTCAGTGCCTTAACGATGCTTGTTGAGGCGCCAGCTAAGAGTGTGCTATCGCAGAACCAGCGATTAGATAGTGAATGAATGCGTAGCCTGAGCCTCCTCGGAGTAATGCGGGAGACGTCAAAGCGTCACATGTACTTATTTTAGATAATTGCAAGGGCTTGTATCCGGAAGATCCGCGGATATCCGGTTAAATACCATGGGGTTTTCAGAGTCGTTGCGCAAACACTTCACCATTGCGACATACCTCCGCGTCGCCGCACCCTTGCCATCGCTCCACAAGATTATTCCATTCTCGTTGATCCTTCCGTGTCCATCAAGCTCACTTCCGCATCATGCTGCTTCGACGATCTCTAGCTGTGTCCTGTGCTGTCCAGCGGCGCACACTTAGCACTGACGCCAAGAAGCTCAACAAGTACAGCACCATCTTAACGGAAAACAAGTCCCATGGTGCAGCCCAAGCTATGTTGTATGCCACGGGACTCAAGGAAGAAGACATCACAAAGCCGCAGGTCGGTATTGCCAGCGTGTGGTGGGAAGGCAACCCGTGCAACATGCACCTTCTCGACCTTGCTCAAGAGATCAAGACGGGTGTGCAGGACGCTGGGCTTGTCGGCTACCGCTTCAACACAATCGGCGTCAGCGACGGCATTGCCCAGTACGTAAAGACTTGTTCCTTTGACTTGTTCTCTCCATGATTTGACGTGACGGACGCTTTCAGGGGCACGGACGGCATGTCGTACAGCTTGCCTTCCCGCGACCTCATCGCCGATTCCATTGAAACCGTCATGGGCGCGCAATGGTACGACGCCAACATCCTCGTTCCCGGCTGCGACAAGAACATGCCTGGGTGTCTCATTGCCATGGCGCGGCACAACCGTCCGTCGTTGATCGTGTACGGCGGCACCATCCGCGCGGGATGCCGCAACGGCGAGCGGCTTGACGTCGTGTCCGCATTTGAAAGCTACGGCGAGTACTTGTCCAAGCGGTACGTCTCTTTCTTTTCCTTCATCCACCCGAGTGCAGGCATATATATATATATATATATATATATATATAAATTCTGAATAAAAATAAAGTCTATAAATTATGTTAAATATTCTTTTAAATTGTCCTTTTGCCCAAACTTTAGACTTTTGTGCGGATTCTTTGCCAAATCGATCGATCCATTCCTTGTACTGACTTTTTTATGTCAACATGGTCCAATGTCACACTAATTTAAATCACACACTAATTCGATGTTCCCTTGGTCGAAGAGTGGATCATTTGATTGGCTACAATTTCGTGTTCTACGTTTTGATTGGTCGATATATCGATTGTATATCTGCCGATGTATTGGGTTATTCTGCTTATTCGATTGAGCACCCCACCCACTCCCATTTCGAATATATCGACTATATACATTTCCAAGTGTTGGAAATGTATATATATATATATCAATATACAATCCATCTCTTCATTGTGATGACGAACGATTCCATTGTAATTCTCAAGCATGGCTGTTCTGTCTTCATATTAGATTCACGGACGAAGACCGCAAGGACGTGCTGCGCAAGTCATGTCCTGGTCCTGGCGCGTGCGGCGGCATGTACACGGCCAACACGATGGCGACGGCGATCGAAGTGCTCGGGTTGAGTCTCCCATACTCGTCAAGTTCCCCCGCCGAATCGCAGGACAAGAAGGACGAGTGCCGCGCCGCGGGCCACGCCATTCGGTACCTCATGGAGCATGACATCAAGCCCAAGGACATTCTGACCCGCGCCACGTTTGAAAATGCGATTGTACGTTATATATACATATTTACGAGCTGTCGCATTTTATTTCGCATATTGTCTTGGTTTCAGCCAAAATTTGGACTACTTTGGATGTGGATTTGCCAAAAAGTAATAATCCATCGATCGATCGATCGATTGTTTGACCTGCATGGTGTATGTACAACATGGCCACATACTACTACCCATCCAACACACTAATTGAAAAAATCTCACACTAATTAGCTGTTTATTGGTTTTGAGCCGGTGGCTTCCTGCAATCGGATTGGCTCAATTTTTCGAGTTGGTTGTGTGTCGATACATTCGGTCCAGTTTTGCATATTTACGATACTTTGGTGCAGGCCGTGACCATGGCACTTGGGGGATCCACGAACGCGGTGCTGCATTTCATTGCGGTGGCGCGGGCGGCGGGGGTTCCGTTGACGCTGGACGACTTTAATCACGTGGCAGCTCGGACGCCCTACTTGGCCAATCTCCGACCCAGTGGCAAATACGTGATGGAAGATCTGCACCAGTACGTGTATATATATATATTATATATTCGTGGGACGAGGCAGGACACATGATTCATTTCCCCCCCAGGGCAAAGTGCCGTCGTGATTGACCTTTTACCCAAAATTTGGTTGACTTTTGAGCTGAAAAAGCACCAAATCGATCGATTCTTTGTACTGAATATTTGTATGTAAAAAGGTGCCATCTGGGTATCACACTAATGGTTTCCGACAATCTGATTGGCTAAATATATCCTTCTGCCAATGATATTCTTGTGTACATTGATTTGGTTGTGTCGATGCTTCATTCTCCATGTCGCTCCAGTAAATTATTACTGGTTGAATCAGCACAACACAATATCTATGACGGTTGTGGTAGGGCTGGGGGCGTGCCAGCCGTGATCAAGTACTTGCTCGAAAAGGGCTTGTTGAATGGCGACTGCCTCACCGTAACGGGCAAGACACTAGCCGAGAACGTCGAGCACCTCCCTGGGTTGACGGACGAGGGCCGGATCGTCCGCCCGGTGGAGTCGCCGCTCAAGCCGACGGGGCACATCCGGGTGCTGCGGGGCAACCTGGCGCCGGACGGGGCGGTGGCTAAGATCACAGGCAAGGAAGGCGAGCACTTTCAAGGCCCAGCGCTGGTACTAGCAACCAAAACCAACTACAATGCCAACTAAAAAGGGTTGAATGGTGGTGATAGGTGTATGATTGCGAAGAAGACATGCTCACGGCGTTGGAGAAGGGGGAAATCGCCAAGGGCAGCGTGATTGTCATTCGATACGAAGGCCCCAAGGGGGGACCCGGCATGCCTGAAATGCGTACGTTGTGTGTTGGATATATATATATATATATAGCTCGTGTTGCGAAACTTGAATTATATATATATATATGATGCGTTGGGATGGCTGATGGTGGAGTGTGTGTGTACATGTCATAGTGACGTGCACGTCGGCGATTTCGGGCGCTGGGTTGGCCAACGACGTGGCAATGCTCACGGACGGGCGTTTCTCGGGGGGGTCGCGGGGTATGTCATGCCACGTTGCTGTCTCGAGTATGACGTGATCACTGGCGGTAGGGTTTCTGATTGGCCACATCACCCCCGAAGCCCAAGTGGGCGGCCCCATCGCGCACATTCGAAACGGAGATGTCATCACAATCAACGCTGTGACCAACCGAATCGACGTGGACGTGTCAACCAACGAACTCCAGCAGCGCGCCACGTCATGGACGGAGCCCCCGCTCAAGTACACCCGAGGGGCGCTGTTCAAATACGCCAAGTTGGTGTCATCGGCGTCGCTGGGGTGCGTTACGGACGAGTAGAGTAAGTACCCAGCCCCTCGGCTTGTTAAAGAGTTGGTTTTTTTGCCGAGGGGGGGGTTCGAGCCTTTCACGATTCGTTACCAGTGCATTCCAAGTATGGTCAAGTCGTAGTAGTAGTACTAACTCTAATATATGTACAGCACTGTACCACATCTACACAAGGCTATTCTACGACGAATTTCTAGCAGATAGAAACCTAAGAAAACCCACAGGTCTGTTTTCACAAGGAAGGCAAACACGATGGCAGTACGTAGCGCCGCCTGCATACAACGCGGGACAGGCTGACTGCGATCTTCCCCATGACATGGATTCGTCGCCGACGCCCAGTTGGGGAATTCGCAAGTCCAAGACATTGTCGACCTTGTCCGCCAGTGGCAAGCGCATAACGACTGTGTATGTAAACCATGGGGAATCGAGCTACGACTGGATTCAACACCTCCAAGCGGTGGTAGGGCGGGTGCACTTGTTCACAAACTCCACGTCTTTTCTTGCGGATACGCAGACCCCTTTGTGGCATGCTGACTGGTGGCAACGCTCGACCAGATCCAAGCCCTCAAGTTCAAAGTTACTGTATCATACCTGGTCATGGCTTGCGCAATCGCCGACATTGACCCCTCTCTACAGTGCTACGTGCATTCGAGCCTTTGACGAGAAATCCTCAAGGGTGCCACGGGAGATGCGCTCTTGGCGGAGATGACAAGCTGTTCCTGAACGCTGGATCGTGCTTGTGCCTGAATACTGTATCAGTGCTCAAGCGGCCAAGGTGAAATGATATTGTTGGGTACGCATCACCATCTGGCGAAGCACCATCTGTTTGTTTGCATGCTTGGCTTGAGACAGAATTGTTAACTGTCAACGGTAACGGAAACTATGGGAAAACGTTCAAGAAATCTGGATACCGTTCAGCAAAACTGAAAACCGTCAAGCAAATTTTCTTCCCGTAACCCTGTAACCCCGGGACTTCGTCCTACCCCCGCGTGCACATACTTCGAAGTATAAATCCCCAGGGTTTTAAGCGCATCACCAGTGGTTAGCTAATCGCTAACCACGGAGATACGCTTAACCCCTAGTAGGAGTTGAGGTGGTCAGAGTATAAAACATATGCCTCATCTAACTAGAGTTTATTAGTTTGAACGGTTTTCAGTCTTAGCTGAACGGTATTCAGATTTGTTGAACGTTTTTCAGGGTTTGTCCAACGGTAACTATATCCTAGTAGGTCAAGTTGGCAGGACGAGTACAACTCTCGGACTCAACCCTCGGACGCAACCCTTGGGCGCCAAAACAGCTGTTCTTAATTTATACCACCTTCTACTATGACCTTCATAAGGATGCTTGGCATTCCTATTACAGTAATACATCAGTTTCTCATTTGAGACGTGACCATCAAGCAAGGCAGACCCTCGCTAAGGACGCGACCTTCGGCAGTGGTATCGGACATAGACAGCGGCCGACACACATCAATAAAAAAAATTGTCGTTTATCGCGGCTGACGAACTCGTGATCGATGGATGGTTCCAGCGATCGGATCTCTGATCACACGCTCCGGGACGGAGCGTCCTACCGACCGGGAAGGCGAAGTTCGCACCGTACCAAGCTCCAAGCCAAAGAATTGGCTCATTTTCTGTGATGGTGCAGTCCCAGGCGGTCCACAACTACTATCAGCAACCCTCGGAGATGACGTGGTGCTTGCAGCGGTGTTTGCAGCTGAGGAACGTGCACGACGGGATGAGCAAATTGTAGGCCAGGCGGCTGAGTTGACCCGGGTTACGGTCAAGGCGGAGTCTGTGCAAGAAGAGCTCAAGGCTACTAGGGTGGCCAGAGAAGAGCAAGCGTTTTTGCGAGCTTCCCAGGAGCGCGAAGCCGCTGTGGTACGCGAGCGCATTGCATGGACGCAGTCTCTCCAGGCAGGACAATATCATTTCTCGGAAGGCCGTCCGTCTGTCAACTCAACCAAGCGCGACAGTTCCTGGGGTCCACCAAGGCAAGGCCCGACAGGTGTCGGCACTAACCATACCCAGGGTAGTCCCTCGAAGCGTATTCCGTCCAAGGGTAAACACTTCGAGGGTACTCCATCCGAGGGTGGCCGTTTCAAGTGTGGCCGTTCCAAGGGTGTTCCCTCGGGACGTGGCCTCGGACTACCGAATTACTCCGTTGCTGAGTGGATATGCTGCTGCTCCCAAGGCTCCCCAGACACCGGGTATTCGGTAGACCAACGGAAGGCCTTTGCCAAACAGTACTACGAATACGGTTACGAGTGTGCTCAGGCGGCGTTGGCCCTCGGAGGTCGGAGTATGTCCGATTGGCACGTGCATCGACGTGAAGGCCAAGCGTTCTGCGGCCATGATGCACCTCGGAAAGGATCCAGATATCGTCACGAACGCGGAATGGATGGCGTACTTTCAGTACGCCCTGGACGACCAAGCCCTGACTTCGGTGACTTGGAAGCCAAGATCAAGACATCCGTTGTCATGAACGACAAAGAACTGGATGCTAACCGATGCTATGACAAGTGGGTCTACATTGGGCTCTCCTGGAGAAGAACAACATGATGTCGTTCCACTCGAAGCACCCCAAGAACGCTGTCAAGGCCCTCATGGAAGGCATCCACCCAGCATCTCTGAAAGCAGTGGTCCAGATCCACCTCAACTTGGACCAGAAGCATCTTCGCAATTCTGTGCTCCAGTTTATGGTGTACGTCAAGACCAAGTTGGTGGCTCAGCTGGAATTCACATGGGCCGCTAAATCTGTGGGCCTAGTGAAGGCGGCCGGGGAAGACAAGCCTCGTCAGATGGACCAAGCCCCGAAGCGGGCCAGATCGCTGAAGAAAGATGTTCTGAGGGTGCATGCGAACACGTTCGACGCCCCTCGGAGATCCCTGTATGTTAGGCATTTACTGGACCGAATCTCCTGGATGTCTGTGTCTCAGCCTCGGAGACTGAAAAGGAGGCGATTCGGGAAGAAGAAGTAGGCCAAGTGGGCCAACAGGAAGTCAGTCAAGCCGAAGATATTCAAGACACTTCGACGGCCCCTTCATGAACTCTCGGACGACAGCTGTTGGGCTGAGATTCCTGGCGTACATACCAATGACCTGGTCGCTGCGCTGGTCGACTCCGGGAGTAACCCCCGAATGTAGTCTTCCTCAGACTCATGGAGAAGGCTTCGACGATCGATTGGCAATCGGAAGTCGAGGGATTCGCGAAGGTCCCGCTGTGCCTCTCCAAGCACTTGATCCTCCCTGAGCTACGGCTTCTGACGGGAGATCAATGAGTGCCTGGGTGGATCCAGTTGAGCCAGGAGTCTCCATTCGGCCGTGAATGCCTTGGGCTATTCAACGGCAGCGTTGTTGAGAACAGTGGCCCTGGCTCAAGAGGTGTATGATATGGGCGGCATCTCTGTCGTGGACCACTGCCTAGTCGACCTTCAGAGCGCTGAAGGCTCGAAATGCCCCGATGCTCTCCGAGGCAGAAGACCCGGACGACTTCAAGGATGGTGATAGCCCCGAAGTCGAAGGCGACCCTCGGAGGCTGTCCAGGAGGCCCTCACTCGGAAAGTCGATGAAGCCCGCAACAAAGTATTGTCTAGGACAGGAGTAATCCGCCTCGGACGGTTGCTCACGGACTTTGAAGACGTCTTCCGTCTTGAGTTCCAGAAGGACCCGCCGATTGCCTTGGAGCCATTGAAGGTCCGGTTCATAGTGGACGCCACCCCGACAACGTGTGAGGCTCGACGATATTTACCCCTGCTGACGGACTACCTGCGCAGTCACTAGACTGAAATTGTGGATGCTGGCCTCGCCAGGACGACGCATCGATCAAGATGGTCGTCTCCCCCTCGGATCGTTCCGAAAAGGATGGAACCTTCCGAATGACTGTTGACACCCGTGGCCCCAACTCTCGGATCGAGCCAATGCATTGGTCCATGCTGGTCCTGGAGGTCGTCATGGCACGCCTCGTCGGGAAGAGTTGTTTCTTCGCGGTGGACTGGTTCAAGGGATTCTGGCAATTGGCTTTGCACCCCAACTCGAAAGAAGCATACGCCATCATGGGTGTTGACGCAATGGTGGTGTCTAACCGGGTCCTCATGGGTCAGTCTGATGCAGTGGCGTCCTGCACATGCAACTTCCCAGGAGGTGTACGGCGAGCGATACAGACATGGTATCGAAGCTTGGCTGGACGACGCCCTCGGAAGTGTATCGACGAGACTGAGCTCCTGGACCTGCTAGAATGGCTTCTTGCAAAGTGCGTGAAGTTTGGACTGAAACCCTCGGAAGTGTGAGTTTAACGCCTCCGAGGTTATCTGGTGTGGGAAGCGCCTCTCTGAGGCCAGGATCTCTCATGACTCCAAGGGATTGGCTGGCCTGGTGGATTTACCCACCCCCGTGACGTTTGCGCTTAAACTGGATGCGGCAGTCCTGCCGTGGCAAGTTTCGGTGGCAGCATCGACCACAGGCGAATGCGCCATCGGCTGCAACTGGCTTAAGCCGTAAGAATCATCACCACAAGTCATAATTTATCGACTGCGGCATACATACTGTGGACTTCCACTTTTCGGCGCATCCGGATAAATGACTTTGGGTCACGACCATTTCATTGCAAAATTCGAAAAAACAACTGAAATATTAAAAGATGAAACTCAAGAAAAATTGGCCTATCAATGGCGGTCACGTAGTGAGACTGTGAATTCGACATAAACTTGCAATATTCGTGTGGTCACGCTGGAGTTCTGATTGGTTGAATATACTTACTTAAGTGCCAATTAAATCCACTCAAAAATGGATTCGATTTGTGACTCGATTCCGAGGTCTGGAAATTTTGTACCGAATCCACAATACCAGGTACTGAAATATTTGCTGGTGAGCAAAATACTGAACCGGATACTCGTGCGTTGCGAAGATATTTCAGTAAATTGGCACATAGATTTACAGTTAACGTTAGGAGGAATGTCTTAAAAGATTATCCAAACTCAATTAACCGTATACCTTATGGCGCGTTACAATTGGCGAAGCGGTTCCATAACATGTGGTTCTAGTATCGGCCCTCGCGGAGGAATGTCGTAATCCAAACTCAATTAACCGGTAGTACTACTACGTACGTAGTATAATCATTACGTACTTCTTGCCTGTCTCATCCATCAGATGGAGGTACATAGCCCGCTATAAGTTTACTCTCCCGGATGGATGACCAAAATATGGCCTCTTTCGCCCGGATACATGATACCCTCGGATTCTTGACCTACCACTGCCGGCACCCTTGTCATTTTAAAACCATCGAGCTTCGAGACATATGAAGATCTTTCGCTCCCTCTTGCTGGTTGGCGCGACCGTCGTTGCCGCCTTCGACACGTACTCGGCCAAAATTCTCGTGGACACCAACACCTTCGAATGCGAACTCATCGATTCCGTCCACGTGGCCCAGCTCCACCGTAGCGTGGAGCACCCGGACTCGTTCATCGAGCTCACAACGAAGCGAAAAAGCCACCTCAACGACTTGGACCTGCTCCGGAACTCGGAGGAAGGCACCCAAGAGTTCGTGGAAATCATCGGAGGCAGCGTTGACGCCGTGCTGGGCCAGCTGGCCAAGCGGTGCCCGTCCGGCGCACTGCGCCACAACGCATTGCGCTCTCTCGAGTCCATTGGCGAGACCACCGTGATCAAGAAGATCGTCGACTCGGGCCCCCCCAAGAACCGCATTGACATTGTGTTTATGGGCGACGGGTACCAGGCGTCGGAAGAGGCGTTGTTCTTCAAGGACATCCAACGCCTGACCGACGACTTGTTCACCGGAGACACGTTCACCCAGTACCTCCCTCTCTTTAACGTATGGGCGGTGCACGTGCCGTCGGTGGAGTCGGGCATTGGCGTGGGCGGCAAACCTCGTAACACTGCCTTTCAACTCTACCGCCGCGGCACCGAGCTGCGCGGCGTGTACCCCAACAAGCCGCAATACGCCCGCGAGGTGTGCAAAACCGTGGGGGAGTTCGCGTGCGACTTTCCGTCGTTGATCGGGAACGATGCGTACTACGGGGGCCTCGGGGGGGAATTCGTCATCGGGACGAGCTCAGCCACGTCTGGCACGTTGGTGTTGCGCCACGAGATGGGCCACAGCTTTGGTAAAGTCGGCGAAGAGTACGACGGGGGAACGATGTATATCGGCGCCAACACGGCCAAGTCGATCAACGAGGCACCTTGGAAACATTGGTTGACCAACCCGGACGTGATTCGCGAGGAGAAGGCCGTCCAGCGGTTCCAAAAGCACATCTGGTACGATCTCCAGAAGGGCTCGTACCAGATCAAGTTTACGTCCAATGGCGCGTTCAAGCGATGGAAGATCGTGCTGTCCGTTTCCGGTGCCGACACGAACGATGCGCTGTCGATCACGTTGAACGGCGAGCCGCTGCCGTGGACCACCAAGGGCATCAAGGACCGCTCGTTTTACTCGTGGCGCAGCTCGGACGCGGGGTTCCCAGCCGGCGACCACGTGCTCAACATCACCGCGGGCGGGTCGTTCGACAGCCCGATCATCAAACAGCTGTGCAGCGCATTGATCTATGAATACGCCGGCGAAGACGAGTTCAAGCTCGACGACAACGACCACATCGGGTTCTACCCCACGTGGGACATCAACAATCGCCTCTTGTACCGCCCCGACAACGAAAAGTGCCTCATGCGTAACATGACGTCGCCCCAGTTTTGCACGCCATGCCAGGAAAACATGTGGCTGAAATTCCTCACGCGCATTTCCTTTATCGAAGATGTCGTTGTGACTGGTAAGGACGTCGCGCTCAAGCTCATCCCACTGGGCCAACTCCGCCCCAATCCCATCCCCAACGAGCGGTACTCGGTCCAGTGGTTCAACAACGGCCACGAAGTCAAGACGTTCCGTGACCAGTTCAGCATTGACGTGTCCACCGTGTCTGGCGCCACCAAGCAGTGGACGGTCAAAGTCAACTTTACCACTCCCACCATCCGCGTCGACTCTAAGGGCGTCACCCGTGCCGAACGCCCGTTCAACGCCGACTACACTCCCCCGTCTACCACTCTCACCCCTACCACTACCACGGCTACCCCTACAACCACCAAGGCGACCCCTGTCCCTACCACTGTCCCCCCTGCGCCCATCATGGTAACCCTGACCCCCACGACGATCAAAGCGCAGTATTAACTATAAACAAGATGTAGTATTTTCTATGTGCTGTAGTAGTAAGCCTACCGCTCCAATGCGTACGTGGAGCTACCGTAATGCAACCATCACCTTTAGTTGTTGAATCGTTGAATTTGATTAAGACAGACTTCCGTACCAAATGTACACTGATGTATTTCCATGAATTACGTGGACGAAAAGGAGACAGTAAATAGCCCGCTCCTTGGCGTCAACTGGTCAGAATTACTATTGGCCAGGAGTACATAGAGGTATCACGTTGCACATGTATATATTTTTAGAGGTAGGTTAATCGAGTCGCTGGTTGCCGCACACTTATCGAATTTACCCATTGTTTTGGTTTCGATTTGTGTACCGAGCGATAACAAAGGATTCTTTAGCTGAAGCTTCCGTGCCCTCACGGTTGAGTGCATATACCCGCGTGTTGGATCCCTCTTGTCGAATTGATCCAACGCATACCCAGACCCATACCCCAGCCATGTCCGATTCCCCAAGAGCCACGACTGGAATGGTGCTCCATCGTACCCGGTCGCAAGAGGTTACTTACTCCTCAGCGATCCCCATACGCTCGCCACCGACTGGCCAGCTGGTGCAATATGCGACGCACCCTCCTGAAATGTCCTCCGTGCACCAGTTGGGTCAGCAAGTCCAGTATCAGTCGTCTCGTTTGAACGATGTCCAGCAAGCTGTCGACGCCAAGAAACAGTTCGCGTATGAGCAGCTGATGGCCTTGCATCAACAGCAGCAGAACCAGAAGCAGCACCAGATGGCCATGAACCAACAACTGGTGACCGAGTTGGAAGATCAACGACGTCAACAGTAGCATATTTTTCAGCAGCTAACCGCACAGAAGGCCACAGCAGATGCTCATGAGCGTGGCTGCATATGTCCGCTGAATTCTCCGTCAAGCATGAGTGCCAATTTGATGTGATGCAGCGCCGAGAAAGTGAGCGGTGTCACGCGTCCTCCTGTCCCTGTGGCTGTCAGGGCTGATATAATTCAAGTGGTATACGGATTTCAAGAAGTCCCGAAGGCCCCCGAGTATAGCGGAAGCACGAAAGTGCAGATGCAAAATTTCATGGATCAGTACGAGGCCTATACTCGGGAGATTGTGTTGGCGAACGCACAACGTCCGGGCGGTGCTCAAATGCTATGGCCAAGTTGAAGATGGAGTCTCCATTCAGTCACCGGAGTCTCGTATCTCGTAGTTGGTCAATGCATTTGAAGCCATACTGGTGCGTCTCTCCATGGAAGGATTTGCTGAGTCCGAGCCGAAACTTACCGTGGACTATCTCGCGCCAAGGCCGCAATCTCACCCACCGGAGTTCATACACATGTCAGTGAGCTGCTGAAGTTGAACGAGCATAGCTCCTCAGTTCAAACGTTGGCTAGCCGAGTACATGCGTCGATACAGCGAGTTTGAGCCGCTGATGTTGACTGCCGGCGCGCCGAGACCACCTGGCGATAACATCCAGCGGCCGGTTACGCACAAGAAGAATGACACTGACGCTTAGCGTTCTGAGCGGACAGAGCGGACTGAGAGGACTGACCGTTCTGAGCAGAACAAACCGAAAGTTGTTGCCGTTGTGAACGTTGACCGCGTACCCGTCTCCAACTTCACCCAACAAAGAAGGGCGTGTTTCAAGTGTTTCAACACCGAGTGCCCCAAGGTGGCGGAAGGTTAGGCCAGACACCTGATTGAGCGGGCCCGCTGGATTTGGAGAAGTGCCAAGGCCGTGACGGTGTGTGTTGTTTCCCATGCCAGTGCCAACACAAACAACCAAATAGGGGAGTGCCGACTCCCTGCAAACCACACACTTGATTGACTTGATGTTAGCACGACGTTGCAGAACCAAGAGTGAGATTCTGACAGTTGGCTGGGACAGGTGTTCTGTTTTCTACGTCCTAGTACTACTAGTAATACTACGCCTTTTCGTGTTGGTTCGCCAAGGGTTGGCACCCGGTGGCCTCGGTTGAGGACCACCTGTGTCATGGCGGGACTTGGATTTAGTCGCCCACCACAACACACCCCCCAAGCCATGTCCCGCAGGACACACTTGGGCCTCGCTAATTCTTCGCTTTCGCTCGCTTCATCGCCTTGCGCAATGCATCGCCTTCGCTCGCTGTCTTCACGCCTTCAACGTAGTTCTTCACCACGGCTGGGCATTCATGCATGAGCTTCTGCAGCGGTTACCATGAGGACTCGGTATCTTCAAAACCTTCCCAAAGCACTTCCAGCATGAAGTCTTTCACATCCGGGACAAACTTGTGTCCCGTGATGGACTTGACCTTCAGCATGACCCCTTGCTCAGAAACGTGTTCGAGGATTTCTTCGGTCACTTCAAAGCTGTCTTCAGCGTAGAGCTTGACTCTTGATGCGTGTGCTTCCCGCAGTTCGTGGGTCACCAAGTGCTCCAAAACGACGGAGAATTCGCCCACTTCCTTGACTCGGTAGGGGCCCGTCCAGGTTACGAGCAGCTTGGGGTGATAGCGTTCGTCGACGCGGGACCAGAGCACATAGTCGCCTTCGCTGACATTGCATTGTTCGTACTTCTCAGTCGCTTTCGTCTATTTCGCCGCGCGCATCGCATTCTTGTCTAGGACTTCTTTGTGCATGTCTTGCAGGCTAGCACCCAGCTTGTCCAAGTTTTTGGGAATGCCCTTGACCGTCCAGTCGCTCTCTCAGAGTTCTTTGTTCATGCCCACCACGACGACATCCAGGGAGTCTCCGGGTTCAAAGCCGTGAACAGCTCCATCGGCGACTTGCTCGCCAGTGATGCTGCCGGTGTTTGGTTGAGGTTGGCTTGGACCACTGGCAATAGGTAGTCCCATTCCTGTTCGGCTAGTTGGTACTCTCGCAGCATGACCCGCATCACTTGAAGGATGTCGCGGTTCATTCGCTCCACCGTTCCATTGCGCCAGGGGCAGGAGGCCAAGGTTATGTCATGATGGACCTTGAACTTGTGGGCTAGCGCCTTCATGGCCACGTTTTTGAAATGGGTTCCTTGGTCGCTGACCCAGACTCATGGCATTCCGAACCGCTTCGTCCAGTCCACCAGGGCATCCACACATACTTGGCTCGTGGGTCCATCGCATGCAATGAGTTCGCAGTAGTGGGTAAGGTCGTCTTTGAGTACCAGCACATACTTAGCGCCGCTGAACGCTTCGCTCATGTAGAGGTAGTCGAAGTGGATTCCTTTGTTGCGTTCTTTCGCGTGCCATCTCGGAGCATACGGTCGATGGACCACCCTTCCCCCTTTTACATGAGGGCACAACAAGCAGCCACGGAGGAATTCACTGGCCCTGTCGGCCAAGTGGTCGACATAGAACAGGCGGATAGTTGCCACCAGCGCTGCATGTCCACGGTGCCCGCCGCTGCCGCAGTGGGCAACGACCATGATCCGTTGGATCAGGTCATTCGCCGCACTCGGTATCCAAAGCCGCTCGTCCACTTGCCACAGTCCGTCCACCACGGTACCTTGCTTTGGTTTGGTTTCGCCATGCTGGTCTTGTGCGTGACGGATGTCCACCACACATGGCCACACAAAGTCCTTGTCCAGCGGCCGAAGTTTCGGTTGTGCCGGTGGGGGAACTTTGCGTGTTTTGACTTTCTTTGACCAGCCATGTCCCTGACGTATTTTGACCCGTTTGGTCGCCAGACTTGGTGTCGGCTGACCCCAACGGCTCATAATTGTGGATGCCGTCGATGTGTATGATTTCATAACAATAGCCGCCAATAATGGCAGCCCATCGCATGAGTTTGCCGCGTGTGTGCGCCTTCCATTCTTCGCCCGGGGCAAAGACATGGATGAGGTTCTTGTGGTCACAGTACATATTGAACCCCGTGGGTCGCATAAGCATGTAATTGAGCTTCTCGCACGCACGCGCAATAGGATAGGCCTCCTTTTCGATGACTGACCACGCCTTCTGGGCGCCCGCAAACATCCCCGACTGACATAAGAGCAGTTCGTGACG